TGGTTCTGGGAAGAGACTGAAGTGTGGCATTGAAGCAAGAGGGGAAATAGCACAGAAGATGGGACAGAAAGCTTCTTCAAACCCCTTCCCACCCCTGAGAGGGAACACAAATATTTCTGCCTCTTTCCTCCCAGCCCACACACGTGGAGCAGGTCAAACTGCATGTTTAAATTTCAGAAGTTGCAGAGTGACTTCCACTGTGCTACAAACTCTTCTACCTCTGGGTGGGAGATGGCACAACGGTGTTGCACCAACTAATGCTGACTGAAATGTTAAGTGTGGCTGACAGTTGGATGGTGGGATAGGATGCAGTTCGGCCGCCTCAGCAGAGGTATGTAGAGGCTGATGACTCTTTTTCCTCAGGCCTGAAGTGCTGGTGGTTCCTCAGGTTGGAGCAGAATGCCTGCACCTTTCTGTCCCCATGAAGAGGCCCTCCTAATCCCGGTAAACATCCACACACCAGCCAGGAATGCAGGAGTTTCCCTCAGCAGGCATATGTCTGCTTTTGGATGAGTTGGATTTCTTCAGTGCCTGGCACATTTACAATAATATTAGCTTGATACCCAGACACAGACTTTGTGAACAGAAAAACAATGTTTACTTGAAGAGTGCCAAGAAACAGCATTTGTTCATGCCCCAACAGCTCCTGATGTTTTCTATTTCTTTTTAACTTATTACCTCAGGAAAAAAATTCCTAACCTCTTATTTGTCTTTTTGACTGATGCTCAGAACAGCTCTGACATTTGCACAGATCTACAGTAAGTCCAAATTCTCTTTCCTGGTCACTTACAGCTTATAATGGTTTACATATAACAGAAGTTATTTTTTTCCTCTTGTATAAAATTCTTTCACTCTTTTTTTCTCTGGTCAGTCTATTTGAAAAGATCCTTCTGAAACCCTCAGTAATCTCTCTGTCTTGAATAGTTTGTGCTCCACAATTGCAGGTGGAACTTGTTCGTACAAGTACATTTCTCTTAGGTGAGGCAACTGATAACAAACCTATCCTTGCCTTTCCAGTTTCTTTAAAGCAAAGATTCACTTGCTATCTTCAGTGACTACCTTAAATATTACCCTCTAAAAGTCTTTTTAAAGATAGCTATAACTGTGACTTCTTTCATGCATTAAATGATATAAATAGCCATAACTCATCTAACTAATCTTAGCCTCTGGAAGCCAGTGGAAATTTTTCTATCGATTAGAGTCAGCTTGGGTCAAGCCCTACACAGTGTTTTCTGATCCCTTGCCCTACTTTTTCTCCATTTCTATTTCACATATATATCTAACTCTTTCAATTGTTGCACATTTTTCTCTCTGTTGAAGAGAAATACTGATAAGGAGGTCCCAGAGGTCTTTAGCTTGTCATCACATCCCTTCATAGGCTGAATGTGTGCAGAATGCTTGAGGAAGAAACAAAAGCTAAATATAGAATAATTTAAAGCCTACCCATTAAGGGCATGCCTACATGACACAAATGCAACCAGCTTAGGTACAGGGAGTGGTGTAGTCACAGAGCTAAGTATGACCGAAACAGAGGATGTGGCTCACAAGCCATCCCCTTGCACTCACATCCTGTCCCTTGGTACCAAAGCCTTGGAGGAAGATATAAAAGCTCATACTAGACAATTATATACTAACTTGCCCATAGGGTAACTCTCTTCCTGATAAAGCTCTTCAGCAGTCAGTTTATGGCCTGAAGCACATAACACTGCCATTTTTTTCTCTTATCTAGTATTATCGCAAGTGTGCTTTTTATTCACATATATTGGTAATACAATTGGTTGCCTAGGCTGGTCAAAATGATGGGAAATAATCTCATGCAATAGTGAGGTATTACAGCTAGCTTCAGCTGCCCCTGCAGATTTTAATGGAAGGTGATGACTTGGACCTTTAGTCCAGAAAGACAAAGCATTAATTCTACATTAATTAAGCCTATCTTATATGACAGTAATATCACTGCCCACCTTTTTCTTTCTGTGCTGTAAGTTACTTAATCTGTCAGTATGTCGTCTATTTATCTGGAAATAAAATCATCAGCTGATGAAACAAAGATGAGAATATATACTGCTTGATTGGGCCAAATGTGATTTTTATAGAGAAGCAGAATGGACAGTGCAAAGGATGTACAAAGACCTACCCTTTACTTTTGCTAAAACACTGAGAATCTTAAAACATGCGACTTAGCTACAGGTGATTTCTGACACGTCCTGTCTTGGAGAAGGCATCAGCAGTGTTGTATTGAAGGCACAGTCAGCAGACAACTGCTGCCTTATGTTCTGAGAGCTGCTAGTCCCTTTTCCCCAGCAACCCAACCTCTCCGGAGATAACTGCATTTCTCCCTCTGGTGCCTTCTGTAATAAATATCCTTCTAAGACTGTCTTCTGTAATAAATATCCTTCTAAGACTGGATTTTTGGATTTTCCTCTGCCTTTTTAAAATTCTATCATGGTGTCCTGCAGAGCGCCTTATTTGAAAGCACCAATGCTCTCTAGGAAGTTAGCTAAGCTGCAGGCTGCCAGCAATCATGCTGGCACTGTGTGACATGGTGCAGGCCAGGACATCCCTGGTGTGGTGTCATTGCTGTCACCAGATCAAAACCATTGCTTCAGAAGTCATGTAGCTCAGACCAACCATTTCCCTTCTGAACCCTCCAGGCCACCAAAACATAAACCCAGCTTGCTTTTTCTCTTAATAAGCTATGTTAATTCTTGGGGGGATATAGTGTAACACAAACACAAAGCTCATCCTGGGCAGAGCAGAGATGCAAATGATGCCTTCTCCTTGTTTTGGGAAAACTCTGCAGGTTGTATGGAGGGGGCACATAGTTAGAAATGACAGCCTCAGCTCTTGCAAGGTTTTGTGTGTCACCCTTGCTTCTGTCCTCTGCAGCAGCACAAGCTTACTGCAATTACTGGCGTAATTTACAAGGAACATTCCAGAGTAAACTCAGCTCAGTCCTGAAGAAAGGCAAATACCACTTGCACCTGGGCCCTTAAAGCACAAGTTTTTAGAAAATGAACAGCTTTCATTACAGGTGCCATTGGTCCCTGTGCATTGGCCCAGGGAGCGAGAACTGCCTTTACACACACAGGCAAAACAAAGGCAACTAGAGTGAAATCTGAACAAATTCTCTGCGGGATAAACCAAAACAAATTTTGATCCCCAGAATTATTACCTGTAACTAACCAAAGGATAGCTGGCAGTTCAAGGGTCAAGGCAGCTTCAGACTCTATACAGTACAGTGGTTTTTTTCCCTATCATTGTCTCACCCTGGCTAACTTGGAGGCCCAAAGATGACTTAAGGCCTAATGCTTCAAGGTGCTGAGTTGAATCAAGAGATGACACACAGGACACTGTATAGCATCTTTTGTGCTGCTGGATTAGGCTCAACTGGTCAAATTCTTGTTTTGAAAAGCTAGTTTCTGTATTCTGCTAAGAGCCTGAACAGTTAAAGTTATTAACTGGCTTCTGAATAAAATGCATTAGGAATAAATATGCTTTAGGATAAACCTATTAAATGGATAAAAATGCCATTACCAGGGGTGAAATATGATTGTGTGACCTTTTAAATAAATAAGCCTGCTATGCACCAAATTATGTCAGATAATAAGCTTTATACATGATAAAGTCATGCACTAGGTCTCAATCTTCAGGCATTCAATGAAATATCGCTAGCCATAAAGGGCTCCTGAAATGTTACACTAAAGAAAATTGCTTCCAGCTATAAAAACTTAACGGTTAAAACAAATGGAGTTTCTCTCATAAAATCCTAAGCAAGGCATTAGTAGCAAGAGTGAAAGCTTACTAGAAACAAACCTGAGGTATTCGAACTATTTTGCAAGTACACAATGCTTCTTAAAATAATTCAGATTCCAGATAAATCTGGAATAACTCTATTGAAAGCAGAAGGGTGTAATCCTGAAACACCAGTGTGAGATCCAAATTATGTTTATAGGGCCTTAGAAATACCTTGGTGGGATATCTCTGGATACAAACTTTGCTGTGTATCCAAACTAACCTGCACTTGCAGTTTTGGCACTTGTACAAGCAGTAGAAATACTGACCTCTGTGGCTGTACCAAATCTTGGGTCTGACTGTGTTATGCCTCAGCGACTTGCCCAGATTACTTCTGACACAATTATATTCCTATTAAGAGGCCATTCATATTTGATGTGATGGAAACAAAGCTGGATATTATCAACCTCGTGAATAAAGACAGACGTGCATTTAGTCAGATTCAGCTACCAGCTTCACATGTGGCAAAACTGGCTCTCTCTACATTAAGTCAGAGTAAGAACTTTCTGCTTTAAACCATAACAAACAAGAAGGAAAGAAGCCAATTCTCTCATTGCTTCTAGCGATCACGGGCAAACCAACAAAACCTCCTGGTGAGCCTCTTACAGTTTTAATAAAATCATCATGGTCACTTCATCTCTTGTTACGTGAAATCAGCAAATAAATGCAATTCCCAGCTGGGGTCTTGTGCTGGTTTTGGCTGGGGTAGAGTTAATTAGTCTTAAACACAGTTCCAAGAACTGAAAATACTCTTGGAATTCCCTGACAAAATCAATTATCTTCTGCAAAAGTTGATATCAGACAGTAACAAAAAGGATCATTCCTGTTTCTTCTGGGGTTTTGGGGTTTTGTTTTGTTTGTTTGTTTGTTTTGTTTTGTTTTGGGGGTTTTTTGGGTTGGTTGATTGGTTGGTTTATGTTCATTTTTGTTTCATGGAGGGGTTTTGTGTGGAGTTGTTTGTTATTTTTTTTCCCTGAACTGGGACAACGCAGGCTAGAAAGGATCTTCTTAACCTTCACCTACATACACTAGCAATTTTTACCAAAGCTCAATCCAGTACAATCTTTTCCAGGAGGGGCATGTAAAGAGACATGGTGAAATTCAAGCACTCAGAATAAGCCAGCCTTGCTCCAGCTCCCAAAAAGATCACTCTCCGAACCTTAGCAAAGAAACAGGTATATTCTCCACATCTAGTTTTAGTGCCTCTGCTAAATAGATTGAGGTACACCATGCCAAGCACAACTTAAACAGGACCACTGCAAAGGAATGGGTGGCATTATGAGGGTAATAGTGAAATTTTATTATCCTTTCCTGAACAACTGCAGTGCAATGCCTAGAAACAAATAATAGATCTGTTCCAGGCAGGAGCTCAGCTGCATCCTGAAGATGTCTCCAGGCACTTGCCATTTTGCTTTACTGCTCTTCCTCAAAACTGGTCAATTGTAAGCATCAGTCTTGCAGAGAAGACATGTTATCAGGGGTGAAGGACAACTGCTTGTTATATAATCCTGCCAAATCCTTGATACAGCAGTTCTCAGCAAACAACCATCTTGCTGTGAGTCACCTGGAAAGTCTCTGGTTCAGTGAGCTTCCAGGAGCAGAGCATCAAAACAGGTTGTATTTCAACTTCCCATTCAAATTACAGGAGGCACCCATGAGTCAAGGCAATAATTTTCTCTTTATCTACCTTCAGATGCCATCCTGCATAAGGATCCAGCCTGTGCACCTGCCAAACCAGAAGACCTGTGGGAGATCCCATCCAGTACTGGATGTCACAGCTTGCAGCTGTCCTGGGTGGCTGCTGGCACGAGGGCAACCACAGCATGAGGAAATCCTTACCCTGCCCTTCAGAGAACTGGAGATGCTGCACGTGGTGTTGGACATGCTTTGTGCTCACCAGCCTTTCTCCAAACACCCATTGCTGGTCCCTGTCAAAAGTGGACACCATGCCCCTTAGACCTCTGGGCTGGCCTTGCACGACTATTTGCTCGTTGGGAGGCCAGGAGCTGTCAAACGCCATATCCCTGCTCTTGTCACCAGAGCCAGGGGCTTCATTAGCTCACACTTTTTTCTTTTTTTTATTTCCTTTTGAGGCAATGCCAAGTCTTAATCCGGTGCCAGGTCACAGATCCCAGCAGGACACATTACACTGGGTCCGTCTTTGAATTAGGAAGTCTCCCACCTCAGAGCTGGCCAGCTCAGGACCTACTGCTCTCCCACCTCTGCTCCTCCCCACTGTGCTTGACAGACAGTCGGAATCAGCTCTTGTGACAACAGAGTTGGCAACTTTGTGTTGGCACGCAGAACTGAGCAGCTCATTTTTTACAAACCTAAACAACTACAACTTTGGCAATCTCACTCCTATTGAACAACAACAACAAGAAGAACCGAGTCAGCAGCAAGCAGTAGCCTGTTACACAGGGCTGTATATAAACCCAGAAGAAATGAGATGGGTCAGCTTGCGTTGGCTGGTAGATGCTGAAAGAGTTGGTCTAGGATTACCACTTCAGGCTGGGCCAAAGTGGAGAAAGATGGAAGGTAGTTGCTTTCCTGGTACTCTGTCTCACTCCTCTGCATAGGACAAAATTGCTTCAGCCTTTAATGCTATTACAAAGCATTATTATAATATATATATATTATATATATTTAATATATATTATATATATTATATATATTACAAAGTTCTTATGAAAGTAACATACAATTCAATATTCAAACTGTAATGCAATTAATATGATTTTAGGACAATTTGCAAAAACTGCAAAAACAATCAAGTTTCAGCTCTGTAGTTCATTTCCACACAGTCATAATTTGGCTAAAATAATTATCCATGCTTAAAACAAATATCTTCTTTCCTTATTTTAAAATTATTTTTTCTTAAAATAGATTAAAATTTCAGAACGTTGCCAGAATGGCACCTACTAGAAGGTGAAATTGTTTGTTAGAAGGGGATTTTGAAGTTTTTGGTTCTAAATAGTTGGAGCCATCACCAGAGAAAATAGAATTCATGTATGCCATATGTTTTACACAGTTTTATAATTCTTGTATTTTTTATTAAACTAGCCAATGAAAATAATAACTATACCTGAGTTTTTCATTTAGCCTCAGGAGTCAGAACACTGATTCAGTTGTTCACAGTGGGTTGTTTTCCTTTCTTTTTTCCTTCTTGGCAATATAAATTATAAATCTAAGAACTGGGGTTTCAGTGTAACTTATAGTAATCAACTTATTTTCTGTTTCCCATTGATATGGTATAACTAATGCTTTAAAATTGCAGTTTGGGACAACAATCACCTTCCCAGTACAAATCATTGGAGTTAACATGAAAAACTTAGTATCTTACTATCAGCTCATACAGGTTTTTAGTCTCTGCCTCTTAAGCATAGACAACCAGGCATCTATCAGAAATAAAACTACCTAAATTAAGTTTGGGGACTAAATTCTGCAGATTCAACAGAACCCATTGAATCAAGTATTTTCTATAAATCTTTTTTAAAAAAAAATCAAGAATGTTCCTTTCACTTCCACCTTCTTCTGTAAAAAAGATCTTAAGCAGATGTTCTCCATCAACACCCATAACAGTAACTTGCAAAGTGAAAATAATACAAAATTTTCTGTTTTGCTTAAAAAGTTTACTATGACTTTCTTTAACCGTGCATTGACAAAATCGCTTTCCAAATAGTCAAACATGAGAAAGCAACTTTATAAATCATCATTTTTTATATGACTCTGAAAGAACTGAAAATGCAAAGCTCAAAACACATTATTTATTTATTATTTATAAGTTGCATAACTTGCTATCTAAACTCATCTCCTAATCATGAAACCCATCAGAGAGGCAGGTGGATTGTAACAGCAGATGAGTTGAAGGGCCATGATTCTCATACAAGGAAAGGGTTCAAATAATTGCTTGTTAGTCACAGAAAAACAATGCTGGAAGAAAACTGTATGAATAAATGAATGAGTGAACACTGGACTAATGAGCTACTTCCTCTGCTTGGCGTATGAGCTCTCTGGGGATGACGACTCATTTAGTTACACGTGTGAACACGATGCAGAGTTAACAAGGTCTTGGTTTCTGCCTGCTGCTCTGACTACTGACACAGTCTGCTGACGAGGCCTGGGAGACGGTGTTGGATGCAGTGTCTTTCACAGCACCAAATGGGAACCATCCTCCTGCTCTGGGTCTGGTGAAGTGAAGCTGCTATCTGGGTTGGGGTAGCAGATTGACTCCAGAGGCATGTGGAGCTAGTTCTGTGCTGAGGACCTTTGGGTGCCACCAGGTTTATACTGCGGGGACTGCACCACAGACCTGGCTGGTGAACCCTGCATGACACTGGCCATCTGTAGCCTCCTCTACAGCACCAGGTAGCACCAGAGTGCTAACAAGCCCCACTGAAAGCCACTTTACTTGTCCTCTTCTTTGTTCTCCAGCTTTTCTTTCCCTACCCCCCCTTCAATGTGCCTCTCTATTCTTGTGTTTCCAAGGGAACTCCTCAGCTTGCACATGGACAGCCAGCTTGGGTTCAGAGGTATTCTTCCATTGCTCTTTGCAAGAACATAGACTGCAAAACCCTTATGGAGTCAGCCAGGGCCCAGCGTACTAACTAGCAAGTGTTCTTCTAAAGCCTGACACCAGGAAGGCAATGCAGGGAGCAGGCTTGGAAGGGGGCTACCTGCCATCTGAGAGAGCAATCTCAGCCAGCATTGATCTTATCAGAGCCAGGCTTAATTTAATCACTCATCTGCTCCCATTGAGCTCCCTGATCTTCAGGATACCCCAGGTCTCCATTTCCCTGAATGATGGAGAGATGACAGTATTCAATGAGATTAAATATCATCTTCATTACATAAGAGCCTTTAATTATATCATTGAACATCATTTGATACTGAAGAAAAGCATGCTCTCTTAAATTTCAGGCAGTGACAAGGGGCCCAGAAGAACTGGGTTCCAGCCCTGACTTTGCCAGGGGCCTTTTCTGGCACACTAGGTAAGAGCAGGATAGCCACTGAATTAAAGATTGTGTAAGCAGTGCAGCTCAGACACTTCCTAACTGTAGGGAACGAGACTTTGCAACCTAAACACTCTGCGTATAATTATTAAATTGAAGCTGATTCAGAACCTTGACACATGAACGACCCTCAAGCTCTCCATCCTTTCATACAGCTTTACATTTCAAGCAATTACTTAAAAAGCATTGGATCAAAAAGCTGGTGCTTGCTCAAAGCCTCAGAAAAGAGTGTTCAACTGAAATCCAAATTGCTTTTTTTCTGGCTGATGCTGTGTTTCCATCACTCTTGGTATTTTGGCTTGATACTCTCAGAACTAGACCTCTGCGTGCTGCAAAAAAAGATGTTCAGGGCAAAAATTACAATGTTTTTCCCATCTAGGAGAGTGAGTAGATAATAGAGTAGGAATCAGGCTCTATTTTTAGAGTCTAGCTTTTTAATTCATTAGCTGTCTGGAAGTCTTCACAGGCAGTCACTTTTCTCTATTGGGTCAAGGCTGGTGAACAACTGCTGCATTACAAGGACAGAGATAAGTGAGAAAGTAGAGCTATAACTCTTCTCCATCCCTAATTACTTCATTCTAAGACCCACACAAAATCACCAGCGAAATCCCATGACCTTCTGCTGCAAGGAAGGAGCCAACTGCCTCCCTGCATCAGCATCTGTGCCTTCTGCAGGCAGCAGGCCCGTGTCCCTCGCCCAGCAGCACACAGCTGCCTCTCAGAGACAATGCAAGGAAACAATTACACTCCCTGTTGATTAGTGAGTCTCTACTTTTCAACATAGCTAGTGCTGCCAAGTAATGAGCACTTCTTTTAGCTATGTGGAAGGGAGTTTACTACTTGCTCATTTAAAGAACACACTAAATCACACAATGTTTTTACACATTCCACTCTTCAGGAGGACAGAAATAGTGCCCTTGCCTGGCCCTCACCTTGCACCAAAAACTAAGTGATTAGCTAATCTGGGTGGCTGACACAAAAGCAAAATCTAGCCTAATAAAAGCTTACAGTCAACTATTTTCAACAGCACTTAATACCGGGCTGGTACTGTACATCCTCATTTCTCTGCAGTTTAACTGTGGTATTAATTTTGTCTTGCCTAGAAAACAGACAGCTCTTTTAATTACATCCAAAACATGCCTGTTCAGACTGAGAAATAATCAGTGCTGCAAGCAAAGCCAAGTAGATGGCTTGAAAAGAGATTATTGGATTCCTCCATGTCTTAATAGATATCACTAGTAAAATTCCTGATGTTTCCTCCTCCCTTCCTCTGTCCTCCTTCAGCTATAGCTTAGTGTCCCTGTTTCAGGCAGACCCTGGGTGGGGTCAACTCAACTTACAGCCTCTCACTAGGACTCCTGTCTCAGAGGACTTCTTTCCACTACAATCTTATGAAACATAGACTACTTGCAATTTGTTGAACTTCCATGACAGGTTCAAAAATCAAGTAGGAAAGATGGAGATCACATAACCTCTCTCTAACCTGGATTTCCCAAGCAAACAACTCACCTCCCCACAGAAGTTCTTCCTCAATGTTTTGCCTTTTTTAAATATTTTAGTAAAAGATAATTAGCCTTTCTGCTCCACGTGAATACTGCAATGTCCCTTCAAACCCAAAGCACTGTTTAACAGAGCATAAGACACTTCCAGCGTGAAAAGACGCTAAGGCAATCTGACTTCTCAAATACCTGGAATGAGCCATCCATACTCAGAGCATCCCTTGAAGTCACTACTATCTGTTTCAAATGCCTTTGCTAGTCTGATAGATACCATGCCCTCTTAGGTACACTTTCATTAGCAGTTTTCAATGAACTTTGAAGGGGATAGTATTTCTCCCCTTATTTTAAAGTTCAAGTCTCACTGAACTACCATATACTGTAAGTTTTGAAAGCTGGCAAAGAATGCAGCATTAGTGCTGACTGCCCTGTCACCTGCTATTTATTACCTTCCCCCATCAGTGAATGGCAAGGGTCCCAAACAGTTTAACAACACCCAATACAGCACCACCAGTCTTGAAGCTGTTGCTGTATAAAAAAAAATAAAAATAAAATCATAGAACGATTTGGGTTGGAAGGGACCTTAAAGATCATGGGCAGACACCTTCCAATAGACGAGGCTGATCAAATAGACAATAGAGTCCCAAAGGAATGGACATGCTGGCTATACTGGCACCACCTTAAGCCCCAAACACACAAAACAGAAAGATCAGCCCCCTCTCTGCAATAACCCCTCCATGCTCAGGGGGAGACCTCATTCACTGAATGTGCTCTGAGGAACTTCCACTGCCTGTCCAACACCGTCACAGGAGCTGCTCTCAAGAAAACTAGTGCTTCTTCACAGGAAAAGTAAAAAAGATCTCCCTTCCCTAGAGCAGATAGCACTTTTTAACAGAAGATTCCTTTTGACTTTTTTCTTGTTTGGGCCAAACACATCATGAAAGAATTGCTGCCTTGAGCTGTTCTCTCTGGCTCGAAGAACACACTGCCAAAACATCTCTTCTTCAGGCTACCACCCTCCTGTAAGAACTGGAAGTAGTAAGTGAATTTTCTCAATTGAAGGGAAAATCTTGACACATTTCAGCCCAGCATAAAAAAAAAAATCATTCCACATCTCAAGTTGAAATTCCAGGAAGACACAGCTAATTTTTGGGCCTTCTACTGACCTTTTTGCCCATCACTACCCAATGGATGTGGTACAGAATCTGTGGAAGCTAGGACAGCCATCCATCTAATTTACCAGGAAGTGCAATTATTCTCTCAGTGTTTCTGTGCAAGATGACTTCATGCTGAAAGGTCACACTGTAATTTCACAAAAAGTAGCCCAAAATAAATTAATTTATGATCACAAATGCCATCCAAATGTGGTTATTTCTACCACCTAACCATGTAGAGTAAATCAGAATGCAGCTCTCTTAGCACCAGAGATGTTCTCTGTTCCGGTATCAAAAGGCAGATCTAAGAAATACTGTCTCCACTGCAAAAGAAACAGGTTGGAATCTTGACATATTAAGCAATACCTAGTTTACAGTCAGTATTTTATTCAGCCTAAAACTTTATTGCTCTTTGTGATGTGTTTATATTTACAATACTGTGCACTTTAATGAATGGACCAAGCTTTACCTTTCTGTTCTGGGCTTAAGTCAATTTAGACAATGTTTGTAGCTAAGAGAGGTCCAAGAGCTGGTTTGATACCGAAGACATACAAAAAAACCAAAACTGTAAAAATAAAATTGTCATGAGTATTTAATCGCCTATAAAAAATAAACAAGCACTTTCAGTTTATATCTCATTGCACAGGATCAAAGCTGGCCTTCAGTCTAAGCACAGGACAGAGACTCCAACCCTTACCAAAAGTGAAACCCGTCACAGAACTCTAAACTTGCGGCCTACAAACTTCACAAGTATCAAATTACATTTTCAAAAGCCTGTCAAACTATGGAAACAATGGAGCTCCTGGAGAATTCTATACTTGTGCACGTACACCAAGAAGCAGCAGAAGCACTCGTGGAATTTAAGAACCCGCATCAGCTTTATTAGATGGTTACGTTTACAAGGATTAGCGGTAGCGGTGCAGCTGCAGGGTATTGCGCCTTCTCCAGGCGGCACGACGGGAGCCACCAATGGTGTGGTGGAACTTGTGGCCCTTGCCAAGGCCACGGCTCTTCCGCCCAGCTGACGTCAGCCCACGCATCTCCCTGTGCTTGTGGACGGGCTTGGTGATCCACTGGGTATCGGGGTTGCGCCTGATGGTCTTATGGAAGGGATCGATCAGAATCACTTCAAAAAACTTGTAAGTGGAATCTTCACCAACCCAATACGAGTTCAAGACTCTCAGAGCCCCACAGTGACGGCCAGCACGTTCCTAGGGGAAAAAAATAAATGCAAAGGCCTGTAAAAACATGGATGCAGGGCACTCTTCATGCAGAAAGATACAACTTAACTGAAGCATGAAATTTCAACTTTCCCCAAGAGACCCTCTTTTCCTGAAAGAACTCCTCCCCTTTCAGTTGCAAAGGTGCAAGAAAAGTAACAGCTGAAAGGAATGCTGTGTTAAAAAAAAAAAAGACTGTCTGGATTCCGACACGAATCAGGTTTTAAAGAATATAAGCAGGAAGGTGCTTGGTTGACAAAAGAAAGAACTCTTTTTACACGGAAGCCCCAACCAGTAAATACAGCATTAAAAGTAACTTTAATATGAAAAGAGGAGCACGAGCTGCACTTGGGGCCATAGAACAAGCTTTTGTGGGAAGTTATGAAAGCCCGATTGATTTGCACATCCAAAGCTACAGGGGAGAAACACATTTCTGCAGAGAGTAAGACTGTACTGATAGGAGAAAAGGAATAGCTGGTGTAAAAAATTTTTGTACCACTGCTGGCATATTAATGCTTGCTATTCCTATCATCACTTGTGGTTGGAAAGACGCAGTCTTAGTTTAAAAAACAAAACAAAGCAGAAAATAACAATTATGCAATTCCATCTGCCTGTCCTGTCAAGGATGTTCCTTATTTAAAACACTGGGTGTTTAATTGCAGGACTTTATCATCACCATGGGAAAGTATGAACCAATAGAATACACTCATCTTCTTCCCCAATGTGATCCCAATCTATTGCTACAGGCTCCCACTAAACAGTACTTGACTATCTTCTGCACATGTAATAACATTTTTTCAAGTCCTTGTTTTATTCTAGAATAAGAGCAACACCTATATGAAACACTGAAACACCAACCACCCTCAACCAGCTTCTGTGCAGGGATGGGAGCTCCAATTGAGGCTTTGTATTTCTGTAATCTGAAAAATTTAAGTCTTCCAGGAGAGAGTATGTCAGATTCTGAAAATTTCAAGCTAAAACTGAGGGAAAATAACCTCTTCCATAGTTGTCATCTCAAGTGAGCATGTGATTAGCCATCTGGGAATAGCATATATGAAGAGAATGCCATGAGTACTGATAATACAGAATTGCATTTTTAACTTAAACTCATCATGTGTTTCTTTTAAATAAGCATTTTTTTCCTTGAAAAAAAAAAATCCCACCATATTCAACTTGATGAAGTCCCTTAGGAATACTTCTGTAATCTTGAGAACAGAAAAGTCTTCTGCTTCAAGACAGAAAGGCAACAAGCAGTCCCCCTTCTTTCACAATGTCCCTTTTTGAGTGAGGCCTCGTATTAATTCTAACCCACTGAAAGAGTTTTTTTGAAAAGGTGACAACCACATCTTTTCCACACTACTACTGTGAACGCATCTCACCTAGAAATAACTTTAGCACCAATCTGTGTGCTAGTGAGGTACCCAAGTTTTTATAAAGAACCAGACGGTCTCTGGCAGCTGCTTTCAGATCCTACGATACAGCCAAGTACACCAGGCACCACTCCTACTACACAAACAGGTGCTACAGACTTTAAAGACAGGAACTCACCTCTACTTTGTGAAAGGACCATCACCTACAGCTGGCAGGGAACAGAGGTGGGATTTACCGACAAGTCAGACGCCTTAGCGTATTTGAATTCTTATTTCCCATGCCCAACTCTTTATTTTATTGTGGCTTGTACTACTTACCTATTTTTTATTACAAATACTGTGGCATATTCTAGAAGTATATACTACAAACTTCAAGAAACCACCTAAGTGGTCCCCCAAGACCCCATCTGTAAAGCCTGAACAGTTTTTTTATTGTCCCAACAGAGCTTTTCAAGACATTCTGGTGCTTTCCTGCCACCAGAATTCAAGATCTTTTACCCAACATATTAACCAAACAGCTGATTTGGGGTTTTTTTTGTCTGTGTGTATTTTCAGCTTTTACAGACTAAGACCTTGCTACCCAAATTTGTGAGCAGTAAGCAAAATACTCACCTCTGCAACAGACTGAAGGCTCCGGGCAAACTTGAGCTGATTAACACCGTGGTGCACGGGTTTGCCATAGGTGGCACCTTTCGGGACTGGGCGCTTGCGGCCACCACGGCGGACACGGACACGGTAGATCACGTAACCTGAAAGAAACGGCGACTTAGGAACTAGGAGAATTCTAGCAGGAATTTTAATGCCCATACTGCATTTCCAACCCCCAAAAATTTACATGAAATGCTGCAAGATTAAAGTCATTATAATAATCTTCACCAAAATTTACAGCTGGAGGTGGATAGCACAAGATGGTTTTGTTATTTTCATCACAACAGAGTAAAGGAAGTGATATCCTCTCACAACCAGTTTTTGGTTCCAAACCAGAGGTTATAGCATCTTTTCACTATTCAGTCTCAAACAGACTAAGAACAGCTACAGCTACGTTGTAACATGATTACAAAATGTAAAAAATTAAAAAAAAAAAGAAAAAATCACCCCTGAACACCCAACAAAGCCACCACTCAAACTCTGAAATCTCATACTCTAACAGCAGCATTCATAAAGCACTGAAGCACAAGCCATCCACAAACCCTACTGAATTCTAATCACTGAATAACGACCAAATTAGATGAGCAGTGGCAGAAGTGTAGAGTCTTAGCTTTTTATTTTCCTAGTGAATAAACATACTGGTTTTTGTAATGGGATTTGCTCAAGTTACACATAGATGGCCACTTTCTCCACTTCCTTCCCTAAGCAATAACTGTTTTCCAATAACAGTAGAAACTCCATCATCTTGCTTACTCAAGTGCATGCAGCTGTAATAAGTCATGGAATCACAGAATGGCCCAGGTTGGAAGGTACTTGAAAGATCATCTAGTTCCAACCCCCTGACATGGAGAGGGGACACTTTCCACTAGAGCAGGTTGCTCAGAGCTCCATCGAACGTGGCCTTGAACACTTCCAGGGATGGTGCAACCTGTTCCAGTGTCTCACCACCATCATAGTATAGAATTTCTTCTCCAACATCTAAACTAAACCTACTCTCTTTCAGTTTGAAGCCATTCCCCCTTGTCCCATCACTACAAGCTCTTGTACAAGTCCCTCTCCAGCTCCCTTGTAGCTCCCTTTAGGTACTGGAAGGCCGCAATTAAGTCACCCTGAAAAAAAGTCAAAGTAACACATGACAATGCTGGGGCAGAGAAAGGACACCCCCCAAACCCAAGATATTAACAGCACTGCTCAACTCTGCAGTACCAACAGTGCACAAGAACTGGGGCCAAAGCCCACTTGATCTTCATCTGCCAAAGCAGCCGTAGAAGGTGCAGATGGAAAATCAAGGGGAGCTAAGGTTTTAGGTTGTGGATGTTGCTACCAACCGAACACGTTTATGATACTCAGCTGATTTCATGTTGGACACTTCAGTTTATTAGGGGATGCTTCAGTTTCAGATTGTTATCCTGCTGCCACTTAAGGAAGCTGACGAAAGACCTGGTCACTGCATTCTGAGGCATGTGGAATTCACCTCTCCATGCCATTACCTTGCTTGGCCTTGTACCCCAGCCGGCGGGCTTTGTCCGGGCGGGTGGGGCGTGGTGCCCGGTGCAGGGCCGACAGCTGCCGGTACTGCCAGCAGCGCACACGCAGCAGGAACCGCATCACGTCCGACTGCTTCTTCCTCCATAGCTCCTGGATGTACTTGTAGGCACCCATGTCTGTCTACCTGCTGAACGGAGAGGCCGGTGAAAACAACGCACCAAAACCCAATCCCAAACTTGAGCATCTTCCAACACCAACACTGCATAAAATCACACATGGAACACCACTGAGAGACAGGGGGCTCACAAGCTCCTCTGTACCACTGACGCAACTGGAAACATGGATCACACTTGGCAACCCCCAGCAGGACACGCAGCAGTCACCATTCCTGGCAATTTTTCTCCTTTTCATGTGTTCTGAGGTGTTAAAAACTCCTCCACTGAGAAAGTTTCCGATGTGTTATGTCTGATACTACCAAAAATAACAGTTAACACCTGAAACAAGTTGCAAATGTCAATCTACACAGAACCAGCGGAGGGCAAGTAGTGTAGTTTTTATTCTTAACACTTACTTTAGTAAGGTTTTACTGGCAAGTAAAAGCTTAACAGTTGCCTAAGAAATGGAAAGAACTGCATTGGGACTTCTGTTCCCTCAGTGTTACTCACACTGTGCCTCCTACATCTCAGGAGAGACAAGGCCTTTCTCCACATCTGCTGAAACTGGGCTTCAAGCAAAGTGAGGTGTACTGCTTGGGTCACACATGGAGCAAAAAATCAAGTGCCATAGCTCAGCGTCCCACTGATGATGACATCTGAGCCTGTGCTCTGCTCCACAGATGCCTTGTGTTTTCTTTTCTTTTAAATTAATTTCTTTAAATTATTTCTGCTAAGTATTATCAGGGTCGATTTGTATTGATTTTAGCAGAGCAAGGACTCAACACAATGTTCCTGCTTTGCCTTTAAGAAAATAACAATTATTACAAACCCCCTTTTCTGAGTCGAACACTTCTGAAAAGCTCTAGGCATTTTAAAATCAAGTATTACTTTATGTGTTCATCCCGTTTATTGCTGGTTTCCTAGAAACCTGAGGTCTCACACGCCTGCAGCAACCAGCACGTGCACCCGCACTCCATCAAACCCCCACCCAACTCACCATCTGGAACACGCCGCCCATTTTATTTACATTATAAGAAAAAAAAAATCCAAATCCAGCTCGTGTCTGATTTGGATACCCCTCTTGTTTAAACCTGTCCAGCTACGGCTTATCCCTTCCCATCCCCTGAGGCCCGCCTTCTTCCCTGCATTATGGCACAGAACACCATGAAGGAATCGCAAACCCGGAGCCAAAGCGGGGCCTGAGGTCTGTCAGTGACCTGCAGCCGCTACGTCGCACCAGTGTCCCCCCTGTGTACCCCCCGGGTATCCCCAGCCACTCCTCCTCCCCTTCCCGCCCCGCCGGGGCGCAGTCCCCTGGCCCTCCCCCACCGGCCTCCCAGGGCGCCCGCGCCGCGGGAGCAGCCCCGTGCCGCCCGGGTCTGGGCGGATGTGCGGCGGGATCCGGGGATGGGCGCGGATGGAGGGAAAGGCCGCGCGCGGACAATCCCTCACCTGATGGCGCCCGGCACCGGAAGGGAAGAGGCCCGCTTCCCACAAACCCTAGCGGTAGCGCCGCGCTTCCGGCGGCTGCCGCGGCGCCTCATGGGTATTGCAGTCCCCGCAGGGGAGCGGTGCCGCGCGCCCCGCCCCGCCCCTCGCGGCCCGGCCCCCCGCGCCCGCCAATGGGAACGAGGGGGCGTGGCCCGCACGGGTCAATGGGCCCGGCGCGAGGCTCTGCCCAGGTGTGCGCGCGCGGGGGGCGGGAGGGCGCGCGCTCGGGGGCCGGGGGCGCGCTCGGGGGCTGAGGGCGGGGGCGCGTACCGGGGCCGGACCTGGGGCAGGGGCTCGGCGAAATGCGACATCCTCTGAAACACCCCCCACTCTCCCCCCCAGGTTAGGGACTGGGGGGGGGGGAAGGGGACGGGGACGGGACTTCCCTCAAAATCCTGAAAAGAAGCCTTAAAAAAAAAAAATCTCTAAAATAATAATTAAAGAACTCGTACGACTATGAGGAACGGCTGGGGTTTGTTTAGTCTCGAGAAGAGGAGGCTCAGCGGGGGCCTTTTTGCTCTCTACAACTACCTGAAAGGAGATTGTAGTGAAGTGGGGTTCAGTTTCTTCTACCGTGCCTGCAGTGAGAGGACCAGAGGAAATGCACTTAAGGTGAGATAGTGGAGATTCAGATTAGATATTAGAAAAAAAAATCACTGTTAGGATGGTCAGGCATTGGAATGGTTTGCCCAGGGAGGTGGTGGAGTCACCATCCCTGGAGGTATTTAAGAGGCATCTGGATCTGGATAATGTGGTTTAGGGGTCATAGGGGTAGTGCTGGATTGATGGTTAGGCTGGATGATCTTGAAGGCCTCTTCCAACCTTGATGATTCTATTCTATTCCAAATAATAAACCCTAAGGGCTGAAAAAGCCCTAAAACCAGCTTCAAAACCTTTTCAGTGGAGGGGTAAGGAGAAGGGCACCAGGGAGCCCCCAGAGCTGCAGCCCCCTCATGGTGAGCATGAGCAGTCCAGGCTGGGGCCAAGGTTGTGACTTTACCCATCAATCTGCTCCCATCCCTCCTGTGTGCAGTGTCACTGAGTGACCTGGTCTGATGGGTGGCATCCCTGCCTATGGCAGGGGGGCTAGAAGGAGAGGATCTTTAATCTCCCCTCTAACCCAAGCCATTCTATGTTTCTATGAGTTAGGCTTTCCCAGCCTGCAATTCCTTCCTGCCTGTGGCTGCAGGGTGACCTTTCTGTTTTTCATTGTATGCTTTGCAGAGCACCCTGGCTTGTGAAGTGTTACCTGGTTAAACTGGAAGTGAAGCAGGACAACGCCAGCCCCTCCTGGTCCAAAAAAAGGTACTCTTCATCTCTCTCTGTGGCAAATGGCTCCAAACAACAAACTGAGTTCGGGCCTGCTGCCCTGCCATGGCTCACTGGCGGAGGGAACTGCCCCAGCTGCTGGACACCTCCTGCTAAAACCAACCCCCACCCATCCAAACTGATGTAAAGCAGACTGCAAAAACCTGCTTCTGCATTTGCTTTCCATACTTCTGCCTTTAACACTCCTGTTTTGTAGGTCCTAGTCTGTAAAAGCTATAAACTTTCTGTGGGCGAAATAAAAGGGAGGGAACCACCATTTTCTTGCATTTCCAGAAACCATCCTGGTACCATCAGATACCATCAGGCCCACTGAAAAACCAGGCAGCCCAATAACCCAGTGTTATGCACATGCCAACAAACACAGCCCCTGCCCCTGGGGCCTTCCATGCTTAATCACTCGAAGCCTCCCTGAGCCTGACAGGACAAGTGTCGAGGCTGCAGGCAGGCATCAGCACCACTGGCAGCAGCCTAAAAACCTTAAAAAATGGTGTGGGAGGAAACTCGAGTCCTAAAAATATCAGTCTCTGGCGAGCGCCTGGGAGGGAGCTGTGCCTCAGAGTCACCCGCTGCTTCGCGCTTTGCCTCTCGCTTTCCGTGGGCTCTGCTCCCGCCGGGAGCCGATCCCTGCCGCCGTGCCAGGCTAACAGCCTCCTGTGTCTGCACAGGGCTCGCCTGCTGACTCTGCTCCCTCGGGAAAGATGGGAAAGGGCTACAAAGTGGTGGTTTGTGGAATGGCCTCAGTGGGAAAGACTGCGATTTTGGAGCAGCTTCTCTATGGAAAGCATACTGTTGGTGAGACATTTTTACTTTTGGGGGGAGGTTGTTTCCTTTTCCAGTGTTTTGTTCTGTGTGGGCCCCAAAACACCAGTAACTGAGGTGAAAGAGAACTGCACTGAAGTGAAGGAGAAAATTCATGTGGTTTTGTTGCATCTCTGGGCAGTTCTTGAAATTCATAGTCACTTACTGGCAGATTTTTAAAAGAGCCTTGGAGAAGAACCCTTTCCGTGATGTTCCCAGTTATAAAACACGTGAATGTTTAAAAAGAAACAAACACAGAAAGGAGGTGATGTGCTTGCTACCTATTTACATAAGAAATATCTCGTTCCCTGAAGGACTCCATAGATGCCTGAAAAATAAATAGATGTCACATGATGAGTGGAGACACTGTTTAGACTTTTGTTTCATCTTCTTAAAGCTTTATTTTGCTTGGTTTTGGCTAACATTTAATCAAAGCTCTGGCAAGAAAAACAGCTAAGCTTTAGGTTCCACATTCTGTGCTGAACTTTGAAGGCCAAGTGTCTCAGCTCTCAAAGAAATCCTCCTGTGGAAAATAGACTTGACAGTGGATCAGGGGATGTTTGAGATTTGCTGTGCACAAAAGAAAGGGAACAAAGGCAAAACCGGCATGTTTCCCTCTGTTTCCACATGACTTGGCTTTGAGAGGAAGGGCAATGGTCATTAAGCTGACAAATTATTCCTGCCTCGCCCAGAAACAAGGGGTGGCACCAGGGTTTTGACAGAAGATGCCTAGTCACTATATATCTTTTTCTTGAGTTGTTAAATTAGACCTTGGTATAAGTTACTGCGTATGCACCAGGATTTCTAGAATGGTGCTTTGCAGCACTGCACCTTTAAAATGCGTGGATGGGAGGAATTTGCTGGCAAAGCGTGATACAGAACTGCGTGCTAATACCCGTGTTTAAAAGGAGGATTTCCTCTAATGTTGCAGCAACATCTGTTTCCAGCATCCTACCGAGTGCTATGCACGTAGCCCCGTGTAGCTTTCAACGTGAAGGTTGCAAAACCTGGAGGCTGAAGGTTTTTCCCTGTGCTACCAACCTGCCTCTCCTCCGCGTTGGGCTGGGTGATTGTCAGGGACACCCGAGCAGCATGAGCAAGGCCACGTTACTTAAATCGTATTGCCTTGCATTAATTCCTGCCTCCTATTAGCAACCCAGGCAGGAAGGATATTCGGGTGTTGCTGATCAGAGGAGCTATTTATGGAGCCAGCCATGTACATGATTATACAATGTCATGGATACTGGCTGACATAACCGGAGGGAGACCTTGTGCCTGGGGTTTAGCTGTGGGTGTCCCTCTGTCTCTCACAAATGCTCTGCTCCATCTTGGCCATTTAGAAATGCAGACCTCCACCCACCACATCTTGAAAAGATCAGTTTTCCTTTCCTGCAGCTCGTCTCTTATTTTTCGGAATTATCAGAAAGAGAGGGAGCAGCTGGGGAGAAAGAAGAAGGTAGTCTCCTGGTTTCTATGATTTTGGTGAAATCTTATTCCCAAGACATTCAGAGAAGGGGGCAAATAGTAGGTTCAAGATCAAGATGTGGAGAGGGCTCATTATGGAGCCACTGCAGCCAGCCCCAAAGGATGAGAGACTGTGACTCAGCAGTTTTGATGTCACTCGTGTGGGCCATCAGGCACATTTTGGGGGGTGGACTGGTAAATTGGTGGTTTTGGCAGTCCTCCTGAGTGGTCACCATCCTCCCTGCTTCTTCCTCAGTACATGGGCAGTTGTGGCAGAGGGTGCCTGAAGTATGGGCTGGTGAAAATGGTTCCCATAAGATCTTCAACTCTTCTTCCACTCTGTACTGATTTAGCCCTCAAACTGCAGAGGCAGGACACCACTGTGAGGGTCTCACTGAGCAAGGACAGAGTTTGAGGAACGGCAAGTCTTTGAGTGCTTCTTAGCTGAGCTGCTTTAAACTGCACAGACCCACTGCTGGTGCTACCATTGCAGGGGTGGCCCTTCCACGCTTGAAACATGATTACTGGGTCGTGATTCTCATTTCCTAAAGCTTGCGAGCTCCAGAAAGCTGACATGTACATTCTGGCTTCTGGCCTTTTTGGCAGGAGGCAAAAAAGACTAGTGTGTTTGCTGAAAGCCTGTCTGTTCAGAGCCAACCAACAAGGCAGCTCACCGGGCATGGCAACATGGACACAAGCTGTTTCAAAACCTGTGCTTCCTGACTGACGTCAGGAGCAGCTCCGTGGCTGGTCTGAGGGCCGGGGAGCCGTGGGGAGGACTGCTGAGCCAATGCATGGAGTCTTTCCATTTTGATGGCATGCACATCCTCCTCCCAAGTGACAAGAGGCATGCCTGAACTTAGTTGGAGGCTCAGAGCACAAGGTCTGGTGCCATTCTCTGAAGTGTCACAGCCATTGACACGAGAGGTTCCTCCTGGCTGTAAATCAGCCATGTGTCTATGTCAGTGCTCATGTGCCTCCTGTTGACTTTCCTGTAAAAAGAGTGGAGACACAGCTGCTGTCAGAGAAGTGATTGGAGTCCTTGGAGGTTTAACGCTGCTATGTAAAGCCCTTGGCTTTGAGCCCATGCTCCTGGCTGTGTGCTCGGCGATGTTGCTGTGAACCCAGTTGCACTGTGTTTCTTTACCTAGAAAAATGTGCAACTTCAAGTCTCCCTGGCTTGTCACCGATGAAGTCCCAAAGTGCCACTGTTGCTCACATGGTCAGCAGCTAACACTCTTGCAAAGGCACTAGGATTACTTGAGGTCAAAGAGGAAAAAGTACTCAGGAGGGAGGAATAACTCTGTAGCATGTGAGCAACAATGTGTGGTACTGGATATTGTGCTAGGCTTTAAACTGCAAGAGAAACTGTTTGCCTTGTGCCCCAGGATGGGAAGAGAGAGGGCAAAAAGATGAGAGATGCTCTCGGAGCCACATAAAATAATGTACATATTGCATGGCAGACTCTCTTGCTAAACTAATACAAGGAATCAGAAGAAAACCTAAAAGGAGATGTTTGAAATGGGTGCAGATTTAGCTTTGCGTCATGTAGGGACTATATTGCCATAGGTCAGGACGAATAGTTGTTAAGAATTGTTATGTATATGATACCTATAAATGCACAGCAGTGTGCCCAGGGGGCCAAGAAGGCCAATGGCATCCTGGCTTGTGTCAGAAATAGTGTGGCCAGCAGCACCAGGGCAGTGATTGTCGCCCTGTACTTTGCACTGATGAGGCCACAACTCAAATCCTATGTTCAGTTTTCGGCCCCTCACAACAAGAAGGACATTGAGGTGCTGGGGTGGGTCCAGAGAAGGACAACAAAGCTGGTGAAGGGTCTGGAGCACAAGTCCCATGAGGAGCAACTGAGGGTTGTTTAGCCTGGAGAAAAGGAGGCTTAGGGGGAACTTTATCACTCTCTACAACTTCATGAAAGGAGGTTGGATCAGGTGGGAGTTGGGTCTCTCCCAAGTAACAAGCAAGAAGACAAGAGGAAATGGCCTCAATTAATGCCAGGGGAGGTTTAGATTTGATATTAGGAAAAATTTCTTCACTAAAAGGGTGGTCAGGCATTGGAACAGGCTGCCCAGGGAAGTGATGGAATCACCATCCCTGGAAGTGTTCAAAAAACACATAGGCGTGGCACTTGGGGACACGATTTAGTAGTGGGCTTGGCAATGCTGGGTTAACAGTTGGACTTGATCATCTTAGAGGTCTTTTCCAGCCTTAACTATTCTATGATTCTGTGATTGCCTGGTACCTGGGATGGAAAATGTCATGAAATGGGTTTTTGACTGGCAGTAGAAGATTGTCCCACTAAATACCTGTGGTATGTGGCACTGCTTGGCCTGACCTCTCTTGTCTAGACTAACAGGAGAGTTGTTGCCTTAACTTTGGCATGGGACGTATCTGTAAAAAGGATAGTTATTTTTCCTTAAACAGTGTCCCTGTTCAGTGATGGTGCAGAAAGGAGTCTTCCTTCTGCTTTTACCTCAAAACCTATGGTAAAGCTTATCAGCTCAACAGAAGGAGATGAGAGCTCTTCCTATAGAACATTTATCTCTGCCTCCTGGCTGTGTAAATAGCTGGTATGGCCAGGTTATTCACAAGCAGCTACTTCAGATCCTCTTACTAAGTAGGAATGAAAACACCATATATTACTGTGGTAGAACCCATAATGAGAGAATTTGCCTCACTTGGTCGAGCTGGAGGGATTGGGGTTTTGGCTTATACAGCTCATAAGATGTGGAGGCTAATTAACCTAATTATGCATTCATAGAATCATAGAATGGTTTGGGTTAGAAGGGACCTTAGAGATCATCTCCTTCCAATTCCCTTTCCATGGGCGGAGACACCTTTTTACATATTTGCTTCTTAAATTAAAACTACCTCATGATAGAGGTGCAGTCAGCTTTGCATTTTAGAAAGATGAAAATAGAGCTGAATGTATGCAACCGAGGGTCACAACCTGGCTACTTGTTAGCAGCTAAATCTAAATAGACCAGCTCCTTTTGAGATCTGCCCAGCTCTTCTCTGAGTCAGGGATCCTCTGATAGACTGTCATTTGAGACCTAAGTAAGCAAAGCCCCTTATCCTGCAGTTTGCAAACATAAGAAATAGCAGGCTTTAGAAGCTCTTTGCTGAATTCCTCCAGAAAAAGGGAAAAAGAGATTACATAGATCTTCAAAAGTACTTAAGAAGACTCAAAATTTGCACTGCATTATGTTCAAGATTCAATAGTGAACTTATGAAATTCCATCCATCTTGAAATTTTGATTTACTTTTTTATTTACAATATATCTGCCATGCCAGGCCTGAGTGTGCAGTATTCATTAGTATATTGAGCCTTTTCTTTACCTCATTGGGAAACCACAAAGGTTTGAACACCATCCAATTTATGACTGAGGCTTCCCCTTGCAGTTCCTCTGTGTCAGCAGTTGGTAACATAGACCTAAGGATTTGCCTCTCCTAAGATTTGCACCAGCTAAGTAGACCTTGGAGAATGGTGTCACTCCTGTCTATTCCTCCTTCCCCTTCCTAACTTTTTTATACCTTTAGTTTTCAAAGAAAGCATGAGATTGTGCACTGTCTTGTCAGTTCCCCTTCACCCCTGTAACTTCTGAACCTGAAAGGTGGCTCACTGTAGTGCTCTCCTCCAAAGAAAATCTCAAGCTGGCAGCAGTCTGCAGGGCAGTAACTTCCCAGCACAAGCTGCTCTTGCCCACCCAGGTAGCAAAGGTGGGAGTGTGCCTGGGGATGCCAGTGAAGGAAAGGGGAACCAGGGTTCTTGTGGCAGGGAGGATTGGATGGTGCCAGCACTTTTCTAGGACACTGACACAATTAGTCTTAAAACAACTTGCCTGGACCATATTTGAATGGATACCAGGAAAGTGTTTGAATGGGACGGCACTAAGAAGAAGTGTAAATATCATTGTCAGTAAGATGTGGCTAATACATGGTCTGGGCTTTACAAGCAAGGCCTTGAATAAGGTGGCACAGGTATTTCTAAAAATTATCTGTGTTTACTTAGGAAATTACTTGCATATACTGCCTCCACCAGTGCACGTAGGTGAAATTTCACCTCTGGAATCTGATACTGGTACATAAATTCCAACTCCCTCCTAAGAGGCCCCCCTATTTCATATAGAAGTTTGTTGTTCTATTCTGCTGAGTTAAATCCCAGGTCTTAAATTTTCCTCTTCATTTTCAAATAGGATGGTAAAGACACAATTTTCACTGCTGCTTTTAATGCCATTGGGAAGAGATTGCCACAGGATAACGTGGATATATTAGATGTCATTGAATTACAGTGCAGCATTTAGATGACAAAAAACTGTACAACATTATTCATTGCTTTCTAAAAAGAAAACTTAGGTACTTATGGTTCATTCCTTCTTGCCAAAGCTGTATTTACTGATTTCCTTGACCTGTCTGTACAATGCAATGAGGCAGAACAAGAACATAGTGCTATGTCTATACAACAGTGCTATATCCAGAAAGGGCTCCATTACTACCTCAGTCTTTAAAAATACCCCTATAACACATTCTACAACCACACAGAATGCATTTGTGCTTCCTTTTTTTATTAACCTTTGTTTTGATCTTCTGTTCTTAGTTTTGCTCCCACACATTAGCAGGCTATATTTGGAGGCGAGATAAATTAAATCATTGGAAACCTAATAAGAGTTTAATCTATGAAGACTGCGCAGAGAGGGGCAAAAAGAACAGCTTGTGCCACTTTCCTGCACAGGAATGCTGCATACATCATGGGAAACCATCAGCGTGGGTGGAATGCTTTAGCTTCTTTGTCAATGTGAAGTATTTTGAATAGTGTCATTGAATATAGCAAAATCCTTATTTTCACAGGCCAGATAATCCCTTGTGTTTCCTTAAACAATGCACTAAAATGGTCCCTTTTTGGCAGACAAAGAGAGTAATGCAGGACTCATTACTGTAGCCCTGCAACAGCAAACAATTGTATATAGGAGTGCAGTGGAGGCAAAAACATGGATTGCAGAGGGTTTATATGAATATTTAAAATCAACTCTGAAAGGGGCCCAGCTACACTATACATAGGATGTTTGGACCTGTAGCCTTATGCACCTGCATCCAGGAGAAACACAAAGCTAAGGTGATTTATGTGTTTCTGGGTTTGTCTTGGGGAAAAAAAATCGTTTAAATTCGTTCAAAGCAAGCTGCCTTGAATTACCTCACATTTACTAGGGGTAGAGGAGGAGGGAAGGAGGGCCAATATGCAGACAGTCACCATGGAACAGGTGATACACATATCAAAGCTTATTACATTGTGCATGCTCTTACCTTGCAGTAAATGAACTTGCTCCTATTAGCAAATCTGAGTCATTTTAAATCCCTAAGGGATGGAAAAAGCTCAATGTGCATTTGAGTAAATAGAGTATGCAACTTTTTTTTGTATGCAAACATCCCCTTCCCTTTCTGGCTTGGTTTCACTTGTTAGTTAGATGTACCACCAATGCACATTCATTCCCAGAATTATTCCTTTGGCTGCTGCTTCTGCAGTGTGACCCAGCTCATTATGCAGCAAAGAAGTAGGCTTATGATGTTAGTACTTGCTATCTGGTGTTTCTCAGCTGTTCTTCCAAAAGGGTATGTTTGGGCAGGCCCTTTTGCAGCATGTTTGGCACAGAACTGGTACGCTGGGTGGTTGGAGTTTGGAAAACCTGGAGGGAGAACACACATCTTATCCTATTCTGAATGTGCATGTTGTATAGATTAATTTTACAGGCATAATCATGTGCTTATATATTAGGTGGCTGTATTTACAGTGATGCTAGTGGAAACAGCTAGTGTGGTCATCTATGAATACAACCCTCCACGGGAATACCAGGAAAGGCTGAGTCCAGGTCAAGTCACACAAGAAAACATGCACTGAAAGCTGTTATGGGGTAAAATTCTGCTGTCCTGCAAATAATTATTATAGTGGTGCTTTACCTATAGCAGTTGAACTTTCCTGCTTGTTTTCAAACAGGCTTAGAAGAGGGTGCCACAATGGAAGACGTGTATTTGGCATCGGTGGAGACAGACCGAGGTGTGAAGGAACAGTTACGGCTTTATGACACCAGAGGTCTGCAGGAGGGCGTAGAATTGCCAAAACACTATTTCTCTGTTGCTGATGGCTTTGTTCTGGTGTATGCTGTGACCAGCCTTGAAGCCTTCCAAAGAGTTGAACTGCTCAAAAAGGAGATCGATGTCTTTAGGGACAAAAAGGAGGTAAATGCATGGTTGGCTAAATGCTGTATCAGTGATAGGAAGTTAAGATGGCAAAGAATAGATTTTGTTTCTGTAAAACTTGCATACAAAGGAAAACGAACGTACCCACAGCCTTGGGCAACCCAGCAAAAGGAAGCTTTCTCATGGTGGAGAAGTCTCATTCACATGCCATGCAGGTCATTCAAAAGAATGCTTTTTGTTTTTTCTTCCTTATTTCCTCTAATAGAGCTAAAATTCAGTCAGCTGAATGCACCAGCCAGGACACTTATGACTAATAAAACATATGGTCTACAGCAGTGCAGCTCATATGTTTTCTTAGATATTGTACAGGGGAAGTCAAGTGCATGGAATAATATAGCGAAGGGCATTATCTTTGTTTGTTTTGTATTCATGTACTTGATGGCTTGCAAACTAGTGTAATTGACAATGGGTCTCCCAGACATTAGTCAATTGGCAAAGCAGCTTTAATGTATTTTAACAACCATATTGAATCAATTCAATTGTGTGAAATGACTGCTCTATTTTCCCTTAGAAAGCAGCTAGTGTTTTCAGCTGACAGTGTTCCAGCTTAGCTAAACAAATATAACTTGCATGTGGCATTAGCATTATGGCTTTTCCTACAATATCTTTATATTCTCAAGTAGTTTTCTCTGCTAAAAGTCTTTGGCCTACAGCTTTCCAAATGCCTGTTTTATGCTGTTTGGGGAAAAAAAAGTGCATGAAGAATTAATTGGATAATGGTAGGGAGAGACTTTCCAAGAATGTTACTTGTTTTGTACTGACAGCACACAGGGTGGTAGAGGAAGGCAGGCTCAAGTTTGACAGCAGAACGAATGTGCAGTCACAGGAGAGGTATGTTAGCTGGTAGGGCTGGTGTGAGCTGCAGACTGTCACGTATATCAGGGATACAGGAGTCAATCATAAGTCCCCTGCAGGGCAAGGAAAGGTGGACAAGCAGGAAATTTTTCCCAGGTGCTGTGTTTTGTGAGGGCCCTGATTTGTTACTCTACACTACATCATGTTGTAATGAGGAGAGGGAGTCACAGCTCCAACAGGATCTGCATCCTGCTGTTCTGTGTTACCTGTCAGAACTTCTCTCTCATTGCATGCAGGTATTTTAGAAAACAGACAGTTTGCTTATCCTTTTGTGATTTTGACTGAGGATAACGTAGTCAAAAGAGTGGTGCCCACAATAAAATGGATAAATTAGTTTCATTCCTATGATTTCTAATCCATATAAAGTAGGCTTTGAAGCACAGAAGGTGAAATCAGGAGTCCTATCTTAAGATAGCTGGTAATCAGTGGATTAATTATTCTATGACTTAAAGTTTGGGCTCTGATAGAATGAATCCTTAACTGAATTAGGAATGTATGTGCTTCTGAGCTGGTAGAACTTCAACTTGTTGAGCGGCACAGTCCTCTGTTGTGTGGTAGATGACAGAAAGCACCGATGGCTGGTTCCTTGTCTCTGCTGGTGGTAGGGGTTCTCCAGCACGCTTAAAGTCTGGCCAAATTTTACACTACATAGAGGTTGTGTCTGTTATACTGACAGGGCTTACCCATAGATAAATTCAGTTGGAGCATGTGATAAATGCACATGAAGATTATAGCTTCTTTCAAAGCCTTCACAGAGGGGAAAAAAACCCCAAACAGCATTTTTTCAAACACACTGGACTGCTGTAGAAAAGAAAGGAAGCCTCAGACCTCACAGGAACAGGACAAACGGCTCTAGCTGGAAAGAAACAGAAGACATCCTGGCGTTAGCCTGATGAACAGGAAAGAGCAAGCAGGTGTGGCCACAGCACCACAAATCATCAGTAAGAGAGGACTTTATGACTTGATCTCTGTCAAACCACTAGTGTAGAGACCAGAGTCTGACTGAGGACCTTGAACTGTACATGTAGGCATGGTTTCCCCTAAGAGCTGATGCTGGTAAAACATTTTTAGACAATGGTTAGCTTAAAATAAGGAGGAGCAGTAACTTCACATGTCCAGCACTACTTTCAGCACTTCCTAGAACTGAAATACTGGGAAGGCTGCATATACCTACTGAGCTCAGCCACCCTGTACTGTCTCGGTCATACAGAAGTCACTTGGTGGATCCTTACAGCTATGAATCTGACTTGATACCACTGTGCTGCTCTACTTGGCTAATAACCAGCTGCTCTTGAAACTGCTTCCCAGAGGACAGTGCTGGTGCTTATCTGCCCCTTTCAGCAGACTGTCCCTGCTTCGGTCCCTCTGGTGGCTCTTGGTGCCTGGGGCAGGACAGCCAGCGGGGCCGGGCTGGGAGAGGGGCCAGCAGCCCAGCCTGCCTGGGCCACTGGCACGGTTGGCTTTATTTATATTGTGGGCTGGGGCTTGGAAAAGAAACAAACAGGGCAAAATCCACAGCTGTGGGGTCCAGGCTTTCTCTGCTGCCGTGCATTTTTTCATCTCTCAAGCATCTGCTGCTCTGACCTACTCAGATGTCATGCTCTTATCATTTGCCTAGGACAGCTCAATTGCCAAGTAAGTGGAGAATCAGGCTGTTTAACTTGGGATCTCTCTGGTATTGTTTCCCTTCCAAGCAATTGGTGGGGGGAGAAGGGTGGGGAGAAGGGGGAAGTCCTGCATATCCTATGATGAAAACAAGCTCCCAACCCACAAGTAGATGAGGCTAATTCAAATCCCAGACCCTGATCTTCCAAACTACATGAAACTTACCTTGTGCCAGGGCTAAGTTAAAGGACAGGTCTGAACTGTGTAGCTACTTGCCTGCTGTTTAAAAGGATTGTGACTGGTGGATGGTTTTGGTATAAAGCTCACCCTTCTTGTTTGGTTTGTAGGTAACAGTTATTGTCTTGGGAAACAAAACTGACCTCCTGGACCAAAGGCAAGTGGAAACAGAAGCAGCACAGCAATGGGCAAGGGCTGAGAAAGTAAGACTGTGGGAAGTGACTGTGACAGATCGGAAAACACTGCTTGAACCCTTCACCTTCTTAGCTAGCAAACTGTCCCAGTCCCAGAACAAATCAACATTTCCCTTGCCTGGAAGGAAGAGCAAAGGGAATAACTGTGATAACTAGGCTAGCCTAGCATTGTCTCCTGCTGCCAGGTCACAGTCTAAGTCCTTTTTGTGCCATTTGCTTCTTGCAGTTTCACTTAAAGCAATAATCTCATTCAGCAATAAAATCAGCAAGATTATAGCTAAGAGGTATCCTTTCTTCTCACAGACTTGGCTTGAAAAAGTGGTGGTAAAAAACCTAAAGAAGCTCTTCATGAGAGCAGTTATCTTGCAACAAGGGTTATGAAGACAGAAGGGATAGATGGACACCTCTTTATCAGGGGCTTTTACTATGCCTGGATGCAGCCATGTTGAGGGACAAATCAACAAGCTTACCATTAAGCAATGGCCTTGCAGATCTGTAGCCTCTAGTCACAAATAGTATTAGCTGCAATAAAGCAATTTGGAGAGACAGTATGTTTGAAATGGCAGTAGTTCTTTTACCTTGACCTTAAATAGAGCCACAAAGCATACTGATGCTGCAGAAGGCTGAGGTCAGTGTCTTGTTGCAGGAGAAGGGTATGGGGAAGGAGAAATGATTACCAGATTTAGCCACTGATATTATGCTAGTGTCTGGAAGGAAAAAAACCCACCCAAAATCATACAAAAACACCCCTCACATCTTCTGGGAAATACTAGACCAGATCTACCCTGACATGAAGCTCGTCAACAAAGTCTGGCAATCAGTGCTTTCAGCTCAAGAACTCATTTGTTCTCATTTGTGACCAGAAAAGCTCTCAGAGCACTCCTTAATTTAACTGCGACCTGACGGACAAGATAGCTGTATGTGGGTTTGTTCCAGCATGTCCAGTACAAATCAGTCACAGTCACATAGGTGATAATTGTACTGAGAAATTATACAGAGCAATTTTGTATGCAGGAGGTACTGCCTGGGCTCTGCTTAGTGCATTGCATAACACTCCCACCCGGCTGCTCAGCCAAGCTGCAGCAATCCACCCCCTGTACGAAGCTACAGGCCAGATAATAACTGGTACAAAGTGCTGTACTGCTCTGTGAGAGCGGGCTAGGGAGTGTAGGGGGCTGCCTTTTGGGACTATCCTCATGGAAAACACCCAGAAATACCTGTACCAAATGGGTTTGGACTTATCATGCTGCACATTGTCCAGCAGCAGGAGCACAACTGGATGTGCTGTGTTGACTCAGTGCTGGTGAAGGTAAACCTGTGCTGCAGGAATCTGCTGTCCTAGGTCAGCCTGTCAGTAAAGTTAACAAAAGGGGATATATATAGAGGGACAGAATGAGCAACTGTTCCCAGAGACAGTGGCCAGTTTTTGGCATCTCAACAACCTCCTGTACTAAAAGATGCTACCTTTTCTTTATATTTGAAGACAAGAGCAGGGAGAGGGAGTGAACATAAATACCCAGTTCCTGCAGTTTTCACTGCTGTTTTGAACAGATACCAAGAATTCCACTGTGAAGCAGCAAAACCACAAGCAATATTTGCCGTGTCATATCATAACTGCTAAATAGTGTGCTTAATGATCACAATTAAGCTTATAGTATTGCTCTTCCTGAATACTGGTTAATAAAGTCTGTCAGCATTACTGATGTCAGAGCAGCAGTACACTTCACTAAAAACGAAGCAGGTATCCCTACCATTATAATGAAGGTAGATGAAACTGTTTATGTGCTTTGCTCAATATAGTTTGGATTGCTGTGGCCAAGGAGTAAGATAAGAGAGCAATTATGAATGAGCAAGCTCCTGCACTGCCCTGCTAGAAACATACAATTGTTTCCATTGCAACACTGCAGCTGAGTAAGCACTACAGCATGACCTCCTCCAACCTGGCTAGTAATAGTCATTGTCCCCAGTGATTCTGCAGGACAACACCCACTACTCACTCATTTCCTACTGAACACACGTGTACTCCAGGCTTCTCCCTGCCCAGAAGACTCCATATCTGCCTGCATGCTTGGGAAGTAGAGGTGACTTCAGAGCAGCAGCGGTTCACCTCCTTGCTGCAACCTCTTACCAAGGAATGGGTCACGTTCCCCTTCTTCGGCTCTGCAGAATCCTTCTTCTAGAAGGGACTTGAATCAGCTTTGGATGAATCAAAATATGTGAAGACATCTACTAACATCACATCATCACTGAAGCTCACCCTTGAGCAAAGGGAGTACAGGTTGACACGTCAGAATTAACTTAAAACGTGTGGAGATGGAAAGAATGGAGATGACTGGTTCCTGTCCAGCTCTGCACGCCGCAGACTCAGTGCCAATTCTACTGCCAAGACTGATGTCACCTGTAGGCTGCCAGAGCTGTGCAGTGGAAGTGTAGCTTGCTCACCTGCTCCCCTGGACTTCCTGGACTTGACAATATTTAAAGACAAGCAAGACAAAAAGGATCTTCCAAGTGACTAAGGCCATTTTTTCAAATAGGTTATGTAAAGGCAAACACGTTATCTTTGATTTGGTTAATTCACTAGAAATGAGTTTAGATCATTCAATGCATTCACATAAAAAACCACCACCCACTGTTTTCTTTCATAAGCTTACTCTGATGCTTTTTAAGCACTCGAATAATCTATTCTAAATACCATAGTATTTTATTGACAAGTTATGGAAAACATAGTGTCTCCTCTGCAAACAATGTACATACAGTGGCTGGTACTGAGTGAAAATGAAACTTGCTGTAGTACAGTTTTGCATAGGGTTAATAAGTAAAGTACAGAGTAGTTTAAAGGGCAGAACACATATTTTGTTCTTACTGTTCCACTGACTCAAAGCCTGTTCTAGGTCACTGGGATCACTTACCTTCTGCAAAGCTAGAGTTCCTTCACGAGCTAATGGGGAAAAATTGTTAAAAAGAAGAAAAATAAATTAGTAAATTGTACTATCTTTCTCTGTTCTTCTTAAACCTCTAACCTGCTGAATACCCACTGTACAGATCAGTCACCCTCACCAGCTACAACAGTTAATTTGGCATGTCCTAGTAGCACAAAGCAAGAAGCTGGCAAAAACCTACTGAGATTTAACCATTTACATCTTTACTCAGTAAAGGAGAGGAGGGAAAGATGACCAGAGATGCTCCTGGTGTGATGTAGCTATATACCAAACAGCCAAACAGCTGAGGGGACTCATACACCTAAACATACACTGTGTCAAAAGACTGCAGTTCAGCTGATGAGGCTAAGGTACTACTACCCACAGCCACCCAGCAAAGGAAAGGGCACCTCTAATTAACAGCTTACTTTGGAGCAAGTTAGATTGGCTCTGTATCTAGATAGGAAGAGAAGTATGTAAATAAAATATATATGGAATTTATTTTAAAGTACCAACCCAAATCTGAGAGTGCAGATGACCACGTGGCACCCAGAAGAATTTCACAAGGTGAAGTACTCGCCATGTGAAAATGAATCTGTGCTTCCGGCCTTTACCTTAAGGGAGTGGTCTGAAATGCCATATCCACAACTAACTGCCCTGTTGCTACACACCTCAATGTAAACACCATGTCTCTAGGAGATAATCTTTATAGGTAGTTAAAGGATCTACAGATTAAGTCTCCTTTACAGTCTCCTGCTAGCTTACCAGGACACGATTCCTTCTCCTCTTCCAAGTCCAAACAGACCACTCCATCAGAAAAGCATCAAGATATTTTTTTCTTCCTTTTACCTCCTGCCTCTTTCCCTTCTAGATTGCTTACACTTTTCCAGTTGTACTTTCACAAAACATGCCAATCCTGAAGAGGCAATGCTGTGAAAACTTCCACTAAAAAGTAACTATCATGGATTCTGTGGTATGTTACCTCCTCATGGCCATGCCCCTGCACAACACCTAGACAGCGAACAGTTGCGAAGGTCTTACGCTGTCATTCATTGTAGGGTTGTCTAGAACTGTGTTCCCAAAATAGCAGCTGTCAGTACACTCACCTGCAGATCTCCCTTGCCTTAACCATACTGTAATCATCAATGAGTACTGGGAGACACCATTCTGGCAAAATGGGAAAGCAAGGGACTAAGCAGAAATATTTTCTTTTTTTTTTTTTAAACATCTTTTTATTAGCACAGTAACAAATGCAGACTTAAGTAGCCCACAACATACAACCAATCCACTGAGTGACTCCTATTCCACACCTTACAGTTAAACAGCTTAAGGTATTTCACTACAGGTTACCATAAGTCCTGATTAAACCCTTTATTCTTTTCACAAAGATAGATTGGCTTATAAAATAATACATTAACTACTTCTCCTTTCATATATGAGGCCATATATCCACCTCTCCATATCACAGATCATGAGATGACAGTCTTTAAAAAGGATTTGTTAAATACCAATGTGACCTCCCATAGGGGAAAACAATGCTGACATCTTTTTACAAAACAAAAACCCCAAAACAAAACCAACCCAGAACAAAATAAATCCCCCAAACCCAAAACAAACAAAAAGCAAAAACAGTGTGTAGAGTCTTGAAAGGACTTTTACATAAACGTCAACCTATGTACCTGTACAAAATTAAGCTGTTTTAATCTTTTACATATTGCAAGCAAACTGAAAACCAAAGAAGTCTAAGAAGTTTACATTCTTCTCGGTACTATATGTGAGCTAATATTGCTGAACTAATTACAGTCTTAAAGTATGCTATTCCCAATCCTAGCTGTCTACTGTAGCAAGATACCTTAAGTTACAACAACAAAATCTTAGGAAATAAAAGACTGAATAAAATCTGTTATAGAAATACCCTACTCTTTACCAGCACCCTCCCTCCTCCCACCCCTTCAAATTCATAAGCAGCTCTTTCCATCACAGACGAATAATGTAAGAGTTTGACGAAAATCCAATTTATGTGGCGTATCTTTTGGTCCATTGTCTGGCCATTCTGTCATGCTCTGCTCTGTTAGTCATATACTGAGTGGCAATGCTTCCAACCAGGGGGTCAGCTGAAAAGGAAATACACTGCTTATTTTAGACGAGTTACCAAATAAAAACTTTAAAATAAAGCTGAACTGTGAATTTAATACAAGGTAAGGTTCACTGTAACAATTTAAACATGGTCTGTATCCTCTCTGATTTTGTGTATTTATGGTGATGTACTAATCTATAACTTAATAGAGTGAAATGTCAACAAAGTTTAAAGGAGTTTAATCAGTCATAATTTGCGTTACTGATAACTTTCACCAATTCATGCATTTCAGGTTTATTTTATTCCCTCTAAAAGCATTGCTAAATGTCTTTGTATCAATATAAACCTGCCTTCTAGGAAAGATCAGATCTCAAGAAGAGGTTCCAATAAGTTCAGCATATATAACACAGTGTGAAATCTGGCGTTTCTCTGATTTTCAGATATATAAAAATACAACCTGTAAAATTGACTTTGAAAACCAAGACACATTCCTCTTAACTAGTGTGGATAGTGGGTGGGTTAGAGCAGCAGTGACAATTACTTGTGGTATAGTTGGTCACTGGTTTTAAATGGATGATGGAAAGTAAGAGGCTAATCCCCTGTTTGCGTTTGTGGCTCTTCCAGTTCCATTACTGAATTACTGTAACCCTACAGACCAGCAAAGAGTGTTCAACCCTTACCCAAACCCAGGGTGGGTTTGGAAGAGGAAGTTTTCATGTGCACGAGGAGGACTGCTGCTTTCCTCTTGGGTCAGCCTGAGGAGCTGTGAACAGCAGGCTGTTTGGGTCTATCACGTCCACTACCTCCAGCCCTTCTCCAGCTGCCCTGGAGAGGGAAACCTGCTGCTCTGGAGGCTGGAGCCATGCTGGCTGAAGCCGTCGGGGTGAGATGAGGGCCATGTAATATTTGGATGCCAGGAGGGGTGCAAGGTGGCAGGCAGCCTGCGTGGCCATGCAGGGAACTTACCCGGGTTGCAGTCTGTGAGGAGGGAGCAGATGGAGAGAAGAACTTTAGAAATGGTTAATGCTGGACTCCAGTTGTCTTTTAAAATGTCCAGGCAGATGACGCCTTGGCTGTTAATGTTACAGTGGTAGATCCTTGTCCGGAATGTTACCTGCAAGAGAGGGTTATGAGCACCCGTGCCGCAGGGACAGGCGGTACAACGTGAGAGAGCGAAGCAGCGGCCCCGGGCTGACCCACCGCCGAGCTCCCCGGGCCGCCGCCGCCCTCTCGCGGTGGAAACCAAAAAGAGCCTGATTTAAATTAAAAATGAGTAACAGTCTCAGGAGCCAACTTCCACGGCCACCGCAAAACCCAGTATGTGGGGGGGGTTAATTTTTTTTTTTAATTACCTTTTGTGTTTTTGCTCGCAGTGGCAAAGGGGCCCAGGGCTTTAACATTAGCATTTTTTCTCCTGCTGGGCTCCCAAGGACTTGTAAAATCCCCCAGAGATGCCTGGGCACTTGGAATCACAGCTTTCATCACTCTTAAGAGCTCAGCAATAGGGTAAATTAGTTGGATTTTCCTATTTTCAAATCTGGGAGACGTGACTGAGCGAGACAGCTTGCCACAGAAGTTACCCGAAAGCGAAACAAAAGCACCATGAGCCAGCTTCAGAAGAACACAATGTGACCCGTAGAGAGGCCTTACTCTGACTTACTGCATGAACAGCAACAACAAATTTGGTGGAACTTACATGGATTAGGATTATGTGGATGAATAAAGGCTGGTGGGTTCATGCCCTAAATCCTCAAAATTTGTCAGCTATCCACACCCACACCTGCAAATTTTATGGTTTGTTTATAGGTCATGGGGGTATTTACAAAACACACTTGGTAAGCCTGCGGGGTAACAAGAACACACTAGTGCTTCACCTCGACATGAGACCAGCCCACACATAAAACCTGCCAGTCAACCTTCATTTTTTCTACTGCCTTTCTGATGCAAAAATTTTGCCTGTGACCCTTGCTCTTACCGGTTTGGGAAGCAGACACAGGGTGGGGTGACACAGCTACAAAACCCTGGTGCCTGCCATGTCCCTGTGCACTGAATCCATGCAGTGTTATCAAGAATGCTCCCAATGCACAGAGCACACAGGCTATTTCTGGACTTGCAAAAGCGGTTACTTGTCACACAGGAGACACCCACACTGCACACTTAGGGAGACTTTACACTTTGTTTCTTGTGAGCTTCCTGGATTTTGGATTAAAACAGGAAGTGAAGGAAACCCCGAATCCCTGCAGGTTAGCACATTATGGGTGGGAATAGCGAAATGACTGAAAGAGAGCAGAGATGTGTCATCCTCCCACACCTTCTGCAACAAGCTGCCACTCCAAAACCAAGAACCCCTGCTGCTTTCTACCTAGGGAACCTCAGAGGCATAATAGCAGACAAGAAACCAAAGTGACCTTTGTTTCCCAGATCATCTAATCTTCAGAGGAAAAGCACTAATTACTCCCTACAGTCATGTGGAAGTCCACGTGCATCAGCCTGAGCAGAGGGCGGGCCTGCCTCTGCGGTACTTGCCCCAACCCACACTGTTCAGGGCAAAACAGAAGTTTGTGGCATTTGCAGTTGCTGGTGACGGCTCTGCCCTGGGTTGCCGAGCAGCCTCAGCCCAGCCCCATTGCTTGCTCAGTGTTTCTCTATTTGACCTGCATCCTTGGTCTCCTTCCAAGAAGACTCTAAATGTAAACGAGGTAAGAATTTGACAGATTAAACACTTCCAGAAGGGGAAGCATGGAGTATTTCCAAGTAGATACAATAAGGACCAAATTACCAGAGGTCAACAGTTCTAATCTGTAAAGACAGAAAGTTGTTAATCCTGATGCTCAGTATAAAAGCTGAATACTCTGTAGGCAGTCTCTCAGTCCAGTCGACTGATAACTGAGAGCAAAACATGAATCCTGTTTGCCTTTAAAAGTAAGACTTACTTTTTAATTATTATTCATGAAGGAGGGGAAAGCAAAAACAAAAGAAGGGACTCCCATATATTGGCAGAACATGCTGGTTCTTTAACACACCGTAAGATATAATTCTTAAGGGATATATCCATGGCACCAAAAGCAGTTTTCTCCAGCTAGAGGAGCTCTACCAAAACACTGTGGGAAAAATCTAAATTTGTTTTCACTTAAAGCAGCAAGTCAGAACTGGGATCGTGTTAGAAACATGTAGTCCAGCTGTTTGCCATTTACAATTTTTGCTGACGGTACAAAAGTCAGCCATGCAGGGAACCCAAATGGAGCTGGAAGAGGGTGAGAAATTGGAGGCCCTCTTGGAAACAAACAAAAATATTTAAAGTAAATGTTCATTACACCTTAAAGAGGAAAAAAAATCATATAAACCTAGCAGATTAAGACCAAAATCAAAAGAAACTGAGCTACTTAGAAGGTAGTAAAGAGAACAGCATGTAGAATAGCAGAAAAATACAGTGCAACTGAACAATCCTTTGGAAATGTCCCACCTGAGATTACATTAATGCAGTAACTACACAGAGTTAAGCAGAGCTTTTGAAAACACATAAAAGAAGCTATTCTCGACCTTACCCTGAAGTGATAGCAGAGGTTAATTTACACAAGTAGCAGAATAGGAGTGGGCAGAAGGAAGTGGTTAGAGGTTATTAATACAAATGATCAAAGCACACACACCAGGTCAACACAAGCTACTGTTTTCACCTCAATAAATGAAATCTAATCCAACTATAATATAACTCTTGGGGAAATGTCCATTGTAATAGTACAAGTACTGAACTCTTAAATTCTAATTATACTTGTTTATTGGATTCTCCTAAATCCAGGCCCACCCAGCATGTGCCCAATTCAATTGCTATCTCAGACATAGGCAAAACCAGAACACCACACAAAATGAGAAAACATAAAAAGTAGAGAACAGATTAACACTAAAATCTTCAAAGTGGTATATGGAATGCTCAATAAATGCAAAAGAACTCCATTATACATATTTAGGACATGAAAGAGAGTATCTGTCCCTGTATCAGATTTCTCCCACTGAAGTTCCTTGTATTATGCAATGTATTTCCAAGTCAAATTTTAAGACCTTTCATTTCTCCACCCTCAAGTTACAGTAGTGCAGTCCCTCTTTATATCCTTCCAGGAATCTGTTAATATCACTTCCAGCACAGTCCTCTGACTCTCCAAAAACGTTTGCACCAACATACTGAATCAAACCCTCAGCTGGAGCTAGACCCAGTCCTCAAAGGCTGCACCTGTATACCCTTTATCACACATCTCTAGGATGCTCATCAGCCACACAGCAGTTGTCAACAGTGGTTACGCCTCAACACCTTCTTTCATGCATATTCCTAAGGGCTTGGAAGCCTGCCAGGATGACCATTTTCATCTTGCTTTATTTAAGAAAGTAAATCCTTTAATGACATTTCATTTTCAGGTTGTGAAACATGTTTAACTACAGGCACTTCACCACGGGGCAGCCCACAGGAGGGACTGTCCTCAAAGACTCAAGGAGGCAGTAGAGGTTTTATTCCACTGATTTTACAAGGCTTACCAAGGAAGATTCAAGTGAAACTAGTCCTCTTTCTTTACAGAGTTTAATCTTTTCAGAGCTTTTAGGCTTTTAAAATTACATTCTTTCAGGCTTTTAAAATGACATTCTACTCTATTCTAAAATTACTGCTCTGCTAGTGCTTATCATCGAAGTCATACACTGGGTTTTGTTTCAACCAGCTGTTTCTTTATTTTTTGCCCTAAAATACATATAAAGGAAGGCTATGGTAATTAGATTAGCCTAGCACTTCAAGATGACCCACAAACAGTATTTACTGGTCACTGCAAGTAGTTGGGACAATCTGAAAACAACAAAATAGCAGGAATAAAGCAAGAGCAATAGGATAATTATATTTTCCACATTACCATTTATTAACACTAGTGTAGATGTTAACACAGAAGCAGTGAAGAAAGGCTCTTTGTTTAAACCTGAAGTACTCATGTAGCACAAGTATCTTCTATTAGAGCATCACTATGCTTTCTCCTATATCCCATCTCAATGTGACTGAAGCTATATATATTTTATTTCCATACATATACGTGGTTTGTAAACCAACTTGGACTTTGCTAGATGAAAGACTCCATTTAAATGAGACTGCTACAATACAGTGAATGGCCACTAAACTACTCTTTTAAAGCCCCATTAAGTGGTGCTTGTTTGTTTTTTTAATCCCACCCTTCTTTTCATCTGGGTGAGGGTTTAGATCCAAAGATAAAGAGATTCCTGTCAGAAGCACAGAGCAGAAAGCACGGCCGAGCTTGTATGACATAACTGTATATTTAGTTCTGCATCAGGGAACTCAGCATATAACTACTACTGTCTCCATATCGCCAGTAGTTACAATATGGTCCTGTAAGAGATCCTACCTGACCCTCAAGGCAGAATGTGGGCACTCAGAGAGCAAAGGCTGCAGCTCTGCCTGGGGCGTCTGCACTGTCTGCAGTGGCAGATGCTTCCATTCTGATGCAGCTGCTGAAGGAGAGGCTGCAGTGCAGACCTCAGGCTCAAGGCAGTGCTGAGACCTTTCTCCCGGGGCAGGACAGGCAGCAGATCTGCCTGCAAAAGGTGTGCCCAGGTGGAGGACCTCCTGCAGCAGCTGGTTGAGCTGTAGGAGGTAGTGAGAAGGCTGTGTGGCATCAGGGCTGCTGAGCAGGAGTTGGACAGCTGGTTCCAGGCTCAGTCTGCAGCGGACCCACAGCATGCAGTCAAGCAGCCAGAAGCATTCCCATCAGCACAGAGGGAAGGGAGGGGGGCCAATAATGCAGAAGAATGAAGCTTGCCACAGCAAGGACCTGCAGAAGGAAGAGACTTCCCCTCAAAGCCTGACGTGCCTCTGCAGAATTGCTTTGCTGCTCTGAGATTGGAGAGGAAAGACCCATGACGTCAGGAAAGACATGGAACTGGGTAAGGGAGCCCCATCCACTCCCTGTGTAACAACCAGCGCAACTAAGAGAAGGCATCAGGTGCCAGTAGTAGGAGAGTCTTTGAAGAGGTGCGGAGGCGCCCGTGTGCAGACCTGATGTACTCTCTAGAGAGATGTGCTGCTCACCAGGGGCTCATAACAGGGATGTCACAGACAGGCTTCCAGGCCCTGTACAGTCCACTGGCCATCGCCCACTGCTGCTGTTTCACCTGGGCACCAGTGATACAGCCAGGAGCAGTCTTGGCAGTGTCAAGAAGGATTACAGAGCCCTGGGAGCAACAGGAAAGAACTGGTTAGTTTTTTTATCAGCCCTCCTGGTCAAAGGGAAAGTGTTCAAAAGGGCCAGTTGCATCTGGCAAATCAACAAATGGTTACAGGACTGATGCTCCAGCTGGGTGTTTGGCTACTCAGACCATGGGACTTGCTTTGAGAAACCTTGTCTGCTGGGCACTGATGGGGTCCACCTGCCAGAGAAGGCAAAAAGACCTGAACAAGTAGCTCCTGGACAAGCTCAAACACATAAAACTCAAGAAGTTTAAGAAGGCCATGTGCAAGGTCCTGTAACTGTCTTGGGGCAATCTCAAGCACTCGTGAGACCCCATCTAGAGTACTGCATCTGGCTCTGGGGCCCCCAACATGAGAAGCATGTGAACCTGTTGGAGTGAATCCAGAGGAGGGCCAGGAAGACAATCAAGAGCGCTGAAGCACCTCTCCTATGAAGACAGGCTTAGAGAGTTGGGTTTTTTCAGCCTGGAGAAGGCTACATGGAGACCTTAGAGCAGCCTTCCAGTACCTAAAGAGGGCCTAAAAGAGAGCTGGAGAGGGACTTTTTATAAGGGCAGAGAAAGGGAGTGACAGTTTTAAAATTAAAAAGTACATTTAGATTCGATACTGGGAGGAATATCTTTACTGTGAGGGTGGTGAGGCACTGGAACAGATTGCCCAGAGAAGCTGTGGATGCTCCATCCCTGTAAGTGTTCAAGGCCATGTTGGATGGAGCTTTGAGCAACCTGGTTTAGTGGAAGACATCCCTTCCCATGGCAAGGAGGCTGGAATTAGATGATCTTTAAGGTCCCTTCCAACCCAAACCATTTCATGATTCTGCAGTGAGTCTGGATAAGCCTGGGGTGATAAATGCTTCTGACCTGTGGCACAGAAAGCAAAGGTGTAACAAAGCACACATGGGAATGAAAAAGCTTCCTCTTTAAATGCGTACTGGGTTCATGACATAATAAACTGCATATAGTTGGTTGGACAATAAATTATTCAATGAAAACTAATAAAAAAAAAAAGAGAAACTATTCTAAACTGAATTAAGTTCTAACCCAAGAGAACCATCCGTGATGCCAGAGAATCTCCAAAAAGGGATAGACAGATGTCAGTAGGAAAGCACTAGACATGCCCCAAGGTGGACCATGCTGCTTGTGAATCAGAGTCCTATCTTAGGGGTAGAATTTAAGGTCCTGTTGATACTATCAGAAACCCTCAAGTTATGCTAGGAAAAACAAAAAAAAAAGTTTCTTTAATTTGGCAAGCTTGTATTGATTTGTCTTGCATGACCAATTAGCATTGTCTCTGCTGAGATGGACTGATGGCCTGAACTATGACAAATCCTTTCTACTGCAGACTAGACCAAAGTCTGAAGATGGGGCAGTTGTTGGCATTTATCTCATGAATCAAACAACTTTTAAGCAGAAAGTTAAACATGTACATAAATGCCTTCAGATACAAGGCAAACACTGAGTGTATACACAACCACCTCTTCTGGTAACCTAACACTCTTCCCATGGCCAAGTATTGGAACCACAAGATAACATTCACTTCCACTGGTATTTGCCTTATAACACTGGAACACAAACACACCGGAAGGTAAGAGCTTCACAAATATAATACACCTACAGAAAGTTTGTTACTGTACAAATAGGTGAACAAGTGTCCAACTAAACGGACTAATTAAATATTACCTTAGTGGCCAAAACACACGTAGCTTATGCTTACAGTACCCAAGTGGTTTGAGAAACAAGTATTTGTAGCCTTTCTCCTCTCCTCAAATTTATTTACTTCTCAATTTCCCAGTCCTGTCCCAATGCTTGCACTAATTGCTTTGGACCTCTTATGAATAGAAGCAGGGAAAAAAGAAAACAAGGTCCAAAATAACGATCAAGAGAACTTGAAAAGCTGTTAACATTAGCTAATAGAAACCTGTGTAATGTTTGAAATGGGCTTAAGTTTGTTCTTAAAAAGAATGGCTTCCAAATGGGCTGCATTCCATTAACACTGCATGCTACTCAACGGTCTGTTGAGCATTCATGACTTAAGGCATCAGCTACAGGTCTCTTACCTTTGGAGGCTTGAAAGGATATTCTGGTGTAAATGTGATGTCAAGGAAGAAAACACCTCCCTCATAGACTGAACCTGGAGGTCCTAGAATAGTTGATCTCCATTCGTAGATGTTGTCACCTTTGGGGCCAGCACTAAGAGATAAAAAACAAAATTGTTTAGGAATATGATTACAGCTCAAATAAATATTCTTCAAGTATGATATGGAAAAAAGTTTTCAGTGTTACTCTCCATACACAACCTCAAGTAGAGACAGGGATTAAAAGTAGATTGAATGCTTCCAAAATCTCAAAGATCTTACCCGGACTTATCAGTGTTCCCGACTGCTTGGCAAAGCAAAGAAACTAGGGATAGGGCATAGTTTCCAGCCTCTCTCTCCTGGCCTTTATAAGAGTAGCACTGCCCAGAACTACTCCCAAACATACTACACTATCAACACAACAGAAGAATTAAGTTTCAAGGAACAATTTCCCACTGTATTTCAGAAATGGCTCTTCCTTCTCAGTCTTAATAGAACTGTACCACGTTAAAGACCATACTAAATAAATTAAGGACTTATGTTAATTTCCTTTATCTTGTGTGCTCTTTAAAATTAAAATATATTCCTGCATTATTGCTAAACCAAGGCTCATAGTATAACTGAAGGAAGAAAAATACATAATGATGCTCTTAAATTTCCGAATTTTCTACACTTTTATCATTTTGCTACATCGATTTCTAAAATGAGGCTAGTGAACTTAACCCCATTGATATTATTTGCATTGTGGAATGCCTTTTGTAAGGGAATTAAAACAGTACTTTCTCAAATCAGCTTTGTCTAACTCTAGATTCTCCCTAACCTGCCAGCAGCTCACTACAAGTGGTACAAACTAAAGGTGTTGCAGAACTCAAACGTCTGCTTGTGGAAAATTAGTTTTACTGAGATCCTCAGACACCTGTATTCTGCAGTGTGCCGTATGTCACGTAAGTACAGCTCAACCAATAAAGCCATTAATGGTTTAGGACTCCATTGCTGTCTCTTTCATTCTGTGCTGCTATGGTAGTATTTTATCTTTAAGATGCAAGAACTGAAAACTCCCTTTGCATACAGGGAGGTGCTGACACAGCCTTTTCCATCATGGGTGTACCATGGCTTTGGAAACCTCTTCTCCCCTTGTTCTGAAGGGAATGGATCTTAACATTCCTAATATAATGAAAACCAGCCTTGGTCTTCTTTCCCCATTCTTTTAATAAAGCTACTATAAGACAGAAGGATAAAAACAGGCTCTCTTTATAATATAACAATCATGGAGCAGTATTACTTGGGAGGGAAGGCAATCCAGTGAATTCAATATATACATGACAATATGCATTTGATTAAGGTGCAGGGAACCGGAGTAATTGCTAAGTGTTAGTAACAACGTTACAAATAGAAATACAATTGTGAAAACATAAATTGTCAAAGTAACTTCAGTGATCAGAGACATGATTTTTTTCCCCTGCTCTTCACAGTACTGGTGAACATGTTCTTGACAGCAGGGGAATCGTGAGGGAGAAAGGGAATTAATTCTGTTATCATACCTAAAATTTTATTTTCAGATTAGATTAATAATAAAATTTCACAATATGCTGGTGCTAGATAATTCAACAATAGTGAAGCTATAACTAAAAGCATGCTTCCAGAGGCAGGAAAGTATGTAAGAAAGCAATAAAGGGAGACAGATTCTCTGTAAAGTGATGCACCAGCCACGAGGGAAAGATTTTTCTCCCCAGAACATGAAACCTTGTGCAGCTCAAGATCAGTACTAAATTAAAGTAAAAGCCATTCTATCCTGAACACTTCTGGCATCCCACTCCACCTTAATGACTTGTCCCTGTCCTATGCAGGTCTATATATTTGGACACTCAGTACTCTCCAGCTACCACTTGTGCATTAGACTGGAAGAGTGTTGTATTTCGACAGGAAGCTCTGCCTCTGGAAAGACACCAACTTAACTGTGCAAACTTACTGAAAAGGACTCTCTGGGGGACTCTCAGCCACCACTCCAAGGAATCACCTCTTTATATATACATTAGCAACCTACTGACATGCTGTCATTACTGCAAGTTGCACCAGAGATCATCCTCCCCTCCCTCCCCTAAAGATGGAGCTACCGAGTGGGAACAGGTACTTGAGCTTTGTTAGCACCGATTTACTGTTGGAATTTTTATCATGAGAACTGGCAACTGGGAGCACTTCAGAACTCAAGAAATGTGATGTGTGATTAGCACTGATTACAGCCCTCTGAACCAACGAGAAATATTTCAACATTCTGCATTTTATTTCCAGCTTCAGCCCAAAGGACTGTCAATAAAAAAATCCCACAGACTTAAAAAATAATATATTATCATTTGTAATAGTCTTAGAAATCTCTTGTATCCTATTAGATTTCCAATTAGAGCTATCACTGCACAGAAGTAATATACTGCTAGACCTCCATATTAAGAGTGCAACATCTTTGTTGCACATCAGTAGGCTTTAACAGTGATGTACTAAGCTTACCTTTTAAGCTTTTCATAATTCAATTAACAGAGTGAAACAGCTGTACATGTCCAATTTTTACACATTAACATTGATTTCTTATAAAAGAAAGACTGAAAGAGGAAGAGGCAAGCCAGCTTCAGAGTAGAATATTGCCCAGATTTAATTTAGGATTAGGTAATATCAAACAGCTCATGAAGACCTACTACTTAATACAAAAGTGACGATGCTGGACCACAGCGTAAGAGCAGCGGCATTAACTTCTGGTGGAGATATCAGAGGTTAAAGATTACATCCTTTGTTTAAAATCCTTGCAATTATCTGCTTCAAAATGAAATTTACTGATGCATAGACACAGGGCTCAGAGGCACAGCTGCCACCTTGCCTGATGCATGTCACCACTGCTCAAATTAAGTGTTTAGATCTACTAATACAACACTTTGAAGCTGTGCAACATATGACCGCTGGGAAGACAATCTTAACCAATTAAATAGAAATTGTTTACACTGCAAGACAAGCGTCGAGAGCAACAACTTTCTGTATTAACTCAGCAGCCCACAACCTCTTCACTTCCAAAGAAAGAAATGAGTAAAAGAGCTGTAATGCAGAGTAAAACATGACATCCAAAAGAAGACTGAAAAGATCCCAAACCATTATTATCCTACCAGGCAGCACGTGTTACGCAGTAGTGCACCTGACATCTCTCTTCCTCGGAAAAACAGCGATATACTCAGTGAAGATGTGCTGCACCCACTGTAGCAACTGTTCCTGATCATTCCCAATGATGCTGGCTTATGCTCTGGACAGATGTTATGACAGAAACGCTCCTTGGGAAACTACACAGTGCCAAGGTATTGTTCAAGGACTACCTAACTTTCCAAGTCCAGAAGCAGGAAAATGCAAGGCATTACCTCCTGGTAAATGCAAGGCATAGAGAAAGTCTCAGCACAGGTGAGACCAGGCTCAAAGTTCTGCAGCGGTCAAGTCCCAACCAGCCTTGTGTTGCTTTGGAAAAATCTGATCTTGCTCTGCCTCCTTGTGCTGGCAGGTGCCATATTCTTTCTCAACTTAAAAACCAAACAGGTAAATTATAAATGCCTGCAGCAGAGGCTGGGGAACAGAACGATGCCTCAGTAAATGAGCTGCAGATGCCTTGTGGTATTGAGCAACGGTAAACACAGGACTGTGCCTCAGAGATTCAGTGTTTGTGGAGGGAACACACACACACACTCACACATACCCCCCCCTTCATGAATTGAAAAGGCTGAAATGACAGATAGTCTGCAAGAACACCCAGCCTGTGGCTTTATCGTATTAAGCCATCCAGGTACAACCTCCACCACAGGCCTGCATTATGTGATACCACCCTGATACTCTGCACACACAAACTCAGCTTCCTCCTCCACCCTGGCACCCCCGGGCAAATCACTTGAAGTACACCTATGCCATGGAGGGAAGGCAAGACTTTTTGGTGCTCACCACATATAGCTAATGTACAAAAATCCCTGGGAACACACTGAACAATACTTTCCAGGAGAATGACTCAGAAAGAGTCCATTGTTTATGACAACATGCTAGTTTATTTGGAAACTACCTGGTCCTTTCTAGGGGTTGACCAAATGATAATGTAAGTGCTCCCTTTAGTGAAATTTCAGGCTGGCAAATACTTTAGTTCCTCTTCTTTGAGATACAGAAAACACACAATAGCAGATCACTGCAGTGATAAATAAATCAAAATGGTACAGATACTAGGTTAAAACCCTGATATATCAAAGCAGCATATATTCCTTTTAAAAGCTAACTAATTTAGCAGAGCAGTTAAAAAGTGCCAGAGACTGCTATCCATCAGGGTGATAAGAAGTGCAATTTCATGTTATGCTTAAGGAAATAACAGCTAATGAAAACCTACAATATGTTTCAGTTAAAACCACAAGTAACAAAACCACAAACTCATACTCCAACTACTTCATATCCCTAGCTGCTATTTTTGAGGCTATTTTGACCTGAACATGAAGAGCCTGATGCAAGCAGCTAAGCTGTTTTGAAGTTGCACACTTGGGGAAAATAAATATAAATTCTAAAAACACTGCAGACATGACCTTTTCCAAGGGACATAGCTCAAATCAGAAAGCAAACAACATACTAAGGCACATGGGAATTCCAAGGTGGCAGAGAATCTAATGATCTCCAAAATAAAGCTGTACCATTACAAACCATGACAGCAACATCAATATTTTTTTTCCTGTTGCTTTATTTTGTAGTAAGAAACAGTGAGTGGCTGAACACGGAAGTGCACCTTGATTATGGACTCATCACCTACTAGCTTTGGGAAATATTTAGTTGAATGTTAGGTCTCTTTCTTGCCCTTTATTTCCTTCCCCCTTTCCTTTTTTTTTTTTCCTCCAAAGATGCAAGCCCAAAATGCATTAGAAATTTTGACTGCCAGCGAGGCAGCATATCATTCTCACATGAAATTCTGGTGCACCTTGATTTTCCTTCCTAGTCCACCCCGTTCCCAACCCCAGGCTAAATATGTTTTTGTTTTTTTTTTGCTGGTAACTCACTAGGTGGGTCCACACTAAACTTGCTCACTTACATTATTAGGCTGAATCTGGTGCAGAGATTGCAAAAGCA